CTCTAGCACTTGAACCACACCCCCAGCAAAAGTTGTGAATTCTTTTAAAGCTTCTGGTACATCCTTCCCAGAAAGGTCACTCTAATATGTAGCCTACCAGCATCATATAAGTGTCTATTAATTAAAGTTTTGGCAGCCGGGCATATTACCACTCAAAAAATAAAATTTTCAATGTAAGTAAAAGAAATGGGCTGCATTTTGACACTAAGTATGAACACTTTGCATATTTTTGTATTAAAGAATTGGTATTTTTCTTACTGATTTATATGTACACACATATGGAGGAAGGGAAGAAGGGGAAGAGAGAGAGAGAATAAAATATATGAGGTTCTTGTTTTTCACATGGATTGAAAATCATGTCCTGTGTTGTTTACTTTCTCTTTTTTTTCTCTCTTCTTTTTTTTTGATGATCATTTTTGATGTATAGAACTTTTCAGTTTCATATAGTCAAAACATAATGTTGCTTGCTATGATGTTTTCTATTTCTTTTATGATTGAAAGTCCTTGTCCATTTTGAATCTTTATTATTATAATTATGTTCACCTTATTCTTGTATCACTTAAAAAGTTGTTTATGTTTGAGTCTAAATTGTACTTGATTTTTTTTGGCATGCAATATGGTGTGAGGTCCCAATTTGATTTTCCTTCCCAAAGAACCAATTTTCTCAATTCCATTTGTTTCCAAAAGGCTTTTTAAAAGACTGGATATAGGGTCTGCCAAAATTAAAGACTCTCTTTTCTAATTGGCCATGGAAGATTGTAACCAGACATGATGAATTCAGTTACTGATATATCTAGAATTGCATCCTAACTTCTCTGTGCCCCCTTTGATACAGGGTACTAGACAGGGGAAGGTCCAACTTGGAGTTTTTGGGGGAGGTAACAGTGGTTGTCCTTACCCCTTCTCAGGCCCCAAGAACATCTCAGCTCATGTGGGTAGCCAAGCTCTGAAGAAACAGTTGATTGCAGATCTGGCCTGTAGTCATTTTAGAATGCCCTTTCCTGCCAGCTGCTAGGCAACCTGACTTGCTGGAGGTGTTCCCTGCAGTGGGCCATTTTTACCCATTCCTGAACATTACATTTCAAAATTTAGTAGTTGTGAAGTACAATGGTCCAGCAGCACCTTGAGGCCTCAGTTTCAGCCTAAGGGATCTAAACTAACCAAGGAAACAAACTTCTAACCTGGACATGAACTCCATCCCTGTTTTTTTATCCAAAGCTAGTCTACCCTGTAGGCCTCCCTCAGCACATCAGACCAACTACAGGTAATGACACATGTCTTCATGTTCATCCATCTCACTTGCACTTGAAATCCTGGCTCTTGGTTTTTTAATCTTTTCACTCCCTTTGCCTCTTCAGTTTTTGACATCTTCCATTTTTGCAACTGGTTTGAACTCTCTTGTTGCCTCTTGGCTTGATCCCTCACTTGATTTTTAATATCAGTATAACATTAAGTAAAAGACATCTTTCTGCAAACCTCTGGCCCACGGAACCTCACTGGATGCCCTAGTAGTTCCCCTTCCAAGTAAGAAGGCAGGTATGTTTTCTTCTAAGGCACATCAACTGTGACACGGACAGAGTGGAAGATAAGAAACTGGCAATTCATCTGACTCTTGCCAGCTGAAATGCCCTTCCACTCACTTTGACCAAGTTACCAGGAAATACTGAGAGATGGCAAGACCAAAATGTCATGGGGCATCTCTAGGCTTATCAGTCAGTGTAGCTCTCACTTTGTCCTATAGGGACATACAAAAAACCCATAACTGCTGCCAGATGACTTGGCTCAACTGCCGTGATCAATAGCTCATCACGTGAGGCAGCTGAAGCTTCGCATCCAGTTCATTCTCACCAGCAACTTGGTATGTGGGAACTAGCGTATGTATTTCAACTCCCTGTGGTATTCGTTCCAAATAAAACTACAGATCACGATGGCCTCAAATACTCCCAAGGCCAGACATTATCAAAGTCTATTAGCCTACAGGGTCTAGGTGCAGTCATAGTGCTGCTGTGTCTGGAATTGAGGCTGAACATTCTTATGAAACATTTAGAGCATGGTCCGTCACTGCTCAAAACCACCCACAGTCCTGTGACCAGGAAGCCCTCCTAGTGCTGGTTTCTGCCTGCTACTCTGACCTCCCTCTCCCACTGCTCCCCCCCCCAGCTCAGTCTGTTTTGGCTACAGACTTACTCAGTGTTGTTTTAGACTATCGCAGCTCATTTCCCACATTCTCTCCCCAGGTGGCTCTGTTCCTCACATCATTCAGGTCACCTCAAATGTCATCTCTTACAGAGATCTTTCTCAATCACCCTAATAAAACAGCTTCTGTCACTCTCAATTTCATTTATTTTTCCTTATAGCACTTAATTTCTGACATTTTATACACGCACACACTTATTTTCTCCTTGTTAGAATGTAAGCTCTGTGAAGAAACACTGGTTTGTTCTCTGTTTCCCCACCTTGATCAGTGTCTGATACAGAATAGATAGTCAAGAACTGGTAGCTTAAAATATTTAGATGTGAATATCATTGTTTATACAAGTCTAGAGAAAAACTGCTTCTATGAACTCAGCCACAGTCACTTAATCTCCACTTCTTGGGGCTCTATGACTATCATGATAGGAAAATGGACTTTTAATCTAATCTACAAAGGTTGCATAAGAAGGAAAATGCTCAAGTAGAATTGAATGAGAATCATGGGTGAGCACCTTTCACATACATTAGCTGGCATGTCCTGCTTAAAACCTTTAAGCAGGCATTATCTCTATTATCACAGATAAGGATACCTGGACTGTGAGAAATTATAAGTTGAATAATGCCATGTATATTGAAGGTATCAGATCCAGGAACTTGGATCTTCCTGGGTCCAACAGTCAGGCTTTTTTTTCTATTATGGCACACTGCTTCCCATAGATACGGTAAGAAATGTGTTACACACATTATCCATTCAGAAAAAGAGACTTACCCAATAACATAACTCTTGAGAGCTGTGATTTTTTTTCCTTAGCTTTTTGGAAACTCACCTAGCCCGCAAGTGGTAGAAAAAAAAAGTAAAGCATAAAAGACAAAGAGGCATTTGTGTCCTCCCCCCTTGGAACTAGAAGCCTCCACATGTTGTTATATTATAGTAGACAGAGTTGACTTTGAGACCTTATTTTCCAAAGATGGTGAAGGATCTAGTGTTTGGGTGAAGCAAATAGCAAGAATAGCTGTTTTTTGTATAAGGCAATATATATTAATTCTCTCATTTAATAAATATATATGTGAGTTATGACCATGGGCTAGGCACAGATCTAAGCACAGTGATTGAAGTGACGAATAAATAAGACAGACAGTGTCTTTGGTCATGTGGAGTTTACAGACTAGAAAGGAATTTATAGAGCTAAAATTATGCTGCTGTTACAAATTGCCATGTTTTTACTTGTTCAAGAAATATTTATTGACTATATACTTCATGTCATGCTTTGTGTTAAGAGAGGGAGTAAAATGGTGAGCTATATTAGACATGATTCCTCATTAGAACTTACAGTCCAATGAGGGAGGCATTAAATAACCACATGCAAAGTGGCACAATGAGAGCTGACACATAGGGAAATGGGCTTAATTAGATTAGGAGATTCTTGTTTGAAAAAAGTACCACTTAAACTGAGATTTGAAGGACGGATAAGAGTTAACTAGGTAACATTATGGGTAACCCAAACAGCATATAAAATGATCCCATTGTAAGATGGTGAGCAGGAAATCTTTGCAAGAGGCCAGTGTGGTTGTGGAATCATCCTGGTGTCAGATGAACCGGAGAGGTGGGCACAAGTAAACCCATAGTATATTGCATAAAATCTGACATGGGCTCAGTCAAAATCCTGCAGTGTACTTTCCCAGTTGGTCTCTAGGTTAATGCTCACGGAACTGCAGCACCCACATGGTGGGGACACGGAACCTTGAAGCTGAGAGGCTCATTGCACCAGCAAGCAGGAAGAAGACCACTGGGATGGCCACTGAAACCAGGGATGGCCACTGAAACCAAGGACCTCCTTCTTACCACCTAGGATGACATTGAAGGAGGAATGGGTTTTCCAAACCTTCGTTTCCAGAACACCATATGTAGCAGTAGAATAGATGTTGTCTATTAGGAGCTCATGAAATTAGATTTCAATTCTTCATCTGCTACCTCTGTATTAAATAGGAATAAAAATATTTCCCTTCAAGGTCCTTATGAAATTATACAAGATAATGTGTTAAAAGCACTTAAGATAGTGCTTAGCTTACAGCAGGTAGGTATTCACTGAGGAACAGCTATTGTTCTTTGCTAAGTGAAGACAGCAATAGCGCTGGATACCTTACAGGTTATTAAGATTTGAGTAGATTATGTATGTTATAAAAGCAATAACTTCTTTTGCATAGTCCTAGTTCTCTTTCTTTCTTCTTTCTTTCTTTCTTTCTTTTTTTTTTGGAGACGGGGTTTCACTATGAACCCCAACTGGCCTCGACACTCCCTATGCAACACAGGCTGGAACTCATGATCCTCCTGCCCCTGCCTCCTGAGTGCTGGGATTACAGACGTGCATCGCTACTCCGGACTGCGTATATTATTTCTCATTTTTTAAGAGCCAGGAACAGACTTTTTTCCCCGAGCCTAATGTTCCGTTGCCTCCTTCACCCTGCCTGGAGTGTCAGAAGAGCCATGTGCATTCTTTTAAAAGACATCTTCCACTTTCCTCTTGCTTGGGGCTGCCCATTTCTAGGTTTCCTATGTTTTTTCCATTTGGAAATTCGTGTCCCGCACCAGGCAGGGAAAGCCCTGCAGGAAAGGCGGCCGCACCACGCCCCGCGCGGGCCGTGCCTAGCCTGGCCACGGTGCTCGCCTGCGATCGGCGCGGAGGGGCTGGTGGGGCTCGGCGCTGCGGCCGGGCCAATCAGAACAAGTTTGGCCCTCTGCAGGTTCCGTCCGCTCACTAGGAGGCGCTGCGGTGGTGGCGGTGTCGGCGGCGGCGGCGGCAGCCGGGGCTGTCGCGGGCGGGGGCGGTTGGACTGGCAGCTTGACGCTCGTGGCCATGGAGAGGGGCTCCGAGTCTGCGGCTGTGAGGCGGCACCGCGTCGGAGCGGAGCGTCGGGAAAGACCTGCGTTCCAGCCGCGACCGGAGAGGGAGGCCTTGGCGCAGGAGCCTCTGGAGGACGCGGGCGGCAGCGGCGGCGGTGTTGGGAGCGGGAGGACGCGGAAGAGGAGCGCGGGGGACCCGGGGACCGGGCTGTCCGAGGCGCGCGCCGCGCTTTGGCTCGCGCTCTACCTGCTGGCGCTGCGGGCGCTGGTGCAGCTCTCGCTGCAGCAGCTCGTGCTGCGCGGGGCCGCCGGGCTCCACGGCGACTTCGATGCGCGCCGCGCCAGGTACCGGCCGCGCGTCCCCTGCCCGGGCTGCGCAATGTGCGCGCGTACCTGCGCCACCCCCGCGGGGGTGGGGAACACGGGGCTGGCGGGGTGCTGTCTGTTCTGGGATGCGTGCAGAGTGGGGGTGCCCGGGTGGATTGATCTGCAGCTGTTCACCCGCACTCTGCCCGCACATGGCTGATTGGAAGTCATTCCCCCATCTTCGCAGCAACTTCCACGTCTTACCGTGGGAATTCCTAGTTTCCAAAGGAAATGAAGGAGAGTGACATTTACGTGCCTGTGACCGTAGGATGTATTCTGTTGTTTGGCGAGGGAGAGTGTAGCATGCTAACTTTCTCATTGTCTCGGTACCCAAATCTGGAAGCTATGAAGTCTCTCTGTGGGAGACCACCCGTTCAAAATTGTACACACAGTTTCAGAAGCTGTCAGGTCATCTTTGGCCCCTCTGGATTAATGACTGTAAAGATTGACTTCAGACTTTTTTTTTCTTTTTTAATTTTGTGGTACTGGTGATTGAACTTGGGGCCTTGTACCAAAATAACCTTTAGGTATGGTAGGAAAGGTGACAAGTCTGGAGTCTTTTTTGGGGGATGGGGTTTGAACTCAGGGCCTCGAGTTTGCTAAGCAGGTGTTCTATCGCTTAAGCCACGCCATCATCTTTTTATTGGTTTAGTTACTTTTCAGGTAGAATCTGGAGAGTATTTGTCCTGGGCTGCCTCAGACCAGTGATCCTCCTACCTATAGCCTCTTTTTTTTTTTTAAATTTTATTTTATTCATATGTGCATACAATGTTTGGATCATTTCTCCCCCCTTACACCCCATCCCCTCCCTTCCCCCCCCACCCCCCTACCCCCTCGCTACCAGGTAGAAACTATTTTGCCCCTATCTCTAATTTTGTTGAAGAGAGAGTATAAGCAATAATAGGAAGGACCAAGGGTTTTTGCTAGTTGAGATAAGGATAGCTATACAGGGAGTTGACTCGCATTGATTTCCTGTACATGTGTGTTATCTTCTAAGTTAATTCTTCTCGAACTAACCTTTTCTCTAGTTCCTGGTCCCCTTCTCCTATTGGACTCTGTCGCTTTAAAGTATCTGCTTTACTTTCTCTGGTTCAGGGCAACGAATGCTATCTAGTTTTTTGGGTGTCTTACCTATCCTCATACCTTCCTTGTGTGCTCTTCCAGGCCTCTTGGAGTAGCTGGGATCACATGGGTGCAGCTACCACTCCTGGCTTAATTGATTGAGATAGGGTGTCCCTAACTCCTCCCATCCCTACCCTGCTGGCTTCCTCCCCTTTCCTTCCTCCTTGGTAGCAGATAGATTTATGTTGGGGGGGAGGCTGCTGTAAAGTGTCTTAAAGTTCATAAAATCATAAGCTAGCAGAAAGTTTTCCAAAACTATTATGTTTTAAAAACTTGCTCTTTGAATGCAAATTACTGAAAGCTTTTTTTCTTAAGGACTTTCTGGAACACCCCCCCCTTTTTTTTCTCACCTGGAATGTAGTGCAAAACCCCCCAAAAAACAGAAAAAAAATTTTCTTTTTTCATTAGGGGTAGAATTGGTTTTTGGCCTGGACTGAAGTTATTAGGTCCTGTGTGCACAATGGGAGGTCTGAGTCCATTCCTTACTATCAAAAGTTTTTCTTTTCTGCTTTAACCTTTTGACTGAAATGTCTTTGCTCATTGGCCTGCCACCTAGACTAGGTAACCCAGAATGCGTAACCCTCAGGTGTTTGGCACACCAAAGTTATATTCTGTTCTGTCTATCCTTTTAACAGTCACACATTTTGAATATAATCCCCAGTCTTTGTATGATTTGTTATGGACATTGGGAGAAGTTGGTGGGTGGAGAAAACATTGGAGGCCTTAATTCCTGGGAGACGATGGAACTTTATAGGTAATTTTCTCAGGGTGTCTGAAGTAAAACAATAACAACAACAACAACAACAAAAGACCCCAAAACAAATGAACGCTCAAAAACAACAGCAACAAAAAAACCCAGTCTTTTTTAATGTAAGAAGCCAAAAACCTAAGTTCCTTAAAGAAGGAAGAGTATGTATAATGGCAAAGTTGCTCCATGCTAAGTGTTAGTTTTAAGCCTACAAGGTTTGTCATAACCATTCTTTTTGGTTGCTTCTAGAGATTCTCTTGAACATATAACATCCATTGGCCCTAGGACCACAGGAAGTACAGAAAATGAAATTCTGACTGTGCACTACCTTTTGGAACAGATTAAACTGATTGAAATACAAAGCAGCAGCCTTCACAAGATTTCAGTAGATATACAACGCCCCACAGGTTCCTTTAGCATTGACTTCTTGGGAGGTTTTACAAGCTACTATGACAACATCACCAATGTTGTGGTAAAGCTGGAACCCAGAGATGGAGCCCAGCATGCGGTTCTGGCTAACTGTCATTTTGACTCAGTGGCAAATTCACCAGGTATGTACCTGCTCTTTAGTCATTTTAAGTCAACACTGCCTAGAAAGTTTATCAACCTCACCCCAAGCTGGGGCAGTTGTGGAGGCCATTTTCTTGGACAAACTTTTCTTCATTGTTACAGAAGACAGGCTAACTATTAGTTTTAGGACCTAACCATGGTATTCTTTTAAGTACTTTATTATTATTATTATTATTATTATTATTATTTTTAACATTGGGCTACCAGGTCAGTGACAGTACATTATGTGTTTTAGTAGACTGAAGCAGCTTATCAGTATTGTCAGTGTGTGTGCTTGTGTCTGGGAGTTGGGTTTTACCACTTCAAGTCCATACTCAGCCAGGGATTGTAGTAGCTTTGGGGATATTGGGTAATGGACAGTACCCATCTTTAAGGGACACATGGTTGGGAGGACATTATTTTTGGCAGTTTAAATTATACTGTTCCAATACTTAATTTAACACCTTACTTTGAAAATACTTTGGTAGATAGAAAACTTGATGTTAGTGCCAGACATAGTACATATTTGTCAAATGAATGAGAATTCCCTGAATTGAACTTCCATTTTTAAAAATAAGATTCCTCAGGAAATGTTTTCAGTAACTAAGGTAGATAGGTAAGAATATAAAATAGATATCACAGCATTTTAAACCTGAGATGGCATCTAGTTTAACTAATCCTGCATTTGGCAGGAATAAATTTAGCTGATCCTCACTAACCAGAAACAGAATTGGGATCAGATGATAGGTTTCCCGCCAGTCAGTTCCTTCAGCTACATTTGAAAGGAAGGACAGTATCAAAGTGTTGCTAATATTCCTTTTGGCAATTTCTTGTTTTTTTCCTTACTCAACTGGCAAATGCAAATATAATAGTAGATTCCTAAAGTGTTGCTCAAAAGAGTCAATGTAAGTAAGCAATAGAACAGCACCTTTCAGGGAAAACCCTTTTGTTTTTTTGTTGCTATTATCTGCTATTAAAGTATTTCTGGATTGCTTGAATTTATGGCAGACCCAACATAACCATCTAAAGTTATATAAATTACACAGTAAAATTTGGCCGGGTGCTGGTGTCTCATGCCTATAATCCTGTCTACTCAGGAGGCAGAGATCAGGATGATCAAGGTTCGAAGCCAGGCTGGGCAAGTAGTTTGTGAGACCCTATCTTGAAAAAACCTTTCACAAAAAAGAACTGGCAGAGTGGCTCAAGGTGAAGGACCTGAGTTCAAACCCCAGTACTGCAAAAAAAAAAAAAAAAAGGATATATGTATTTAGTAAAATTTATTTGCTTGATAAAATAATTCAGACTAGAATTATACTTGCATTGAGAATATAGTTTGCTTTTTAATAATCAGTATGCACACATTTGTTATATAAAGGGGAAACCAGTGACCTTTTATGTGCATTTGAAAGTATTAATAAAACAAATGTTACCCTATGTCCACTATTTTGATGCTGGGAAGGGGCAAAGAAATACCATAGTTGTTTAAGGGCATTAATAAGAAAGATGTGCATGCAAGTATCAGGAACAAATATAGGGGAAGCAAAAATAACTTTCCCTCTGTCCTTCATACTTAGGTGGGAAAAGACAGATTAATAAGAGAAAAAAAGTTTATTCCCATGTTCTTCTTATATATATATGGGAGATACCAAGGGAAGATGAGTAAATATCAAAGAGGTAGGTGGCTTAGCACTCTGGCTCATTGTTCACAACAAAGAATAGTGCTTTTTTGGAAAAGTGACAAAACAAAGGAAAAGTACCAGTTAGAGATGGACTCAGTGGTATAACGCTTGCCTAGCATGTGTAGGCCCTGGGTTCAATCGCCAGCACTACAAAACAAAACAAAAGAAGAACAAAAGGGGAAAAGTCTGTGGGCAGCAAATTGTGGGATGGTACATATACGGTAGATAAAGTCCGGTTGGTAAAGTTTGTCATCTGGATCTTTGGTACTGTTTGTAGGCAGATTAGGGTCTACGACTGTCGTGAGTGATCAGCCTTTGGAGTACTTACGTAAATTCATGTCCTTTTCGGCGAATAGGAGAAGGGAAGAGAGCATTGCTTACATCGACTCTGTTTTCATCAGCTCAAGATAAACCTTGTGCTAAAGTGGCATATTTTAGTGTGGTACAGTCTGCTACTCTTCACAAATAATGCCACATACTACAAATTGCATAGTTGGAATCCAGTAATTTAAGAATGGCATTTTTGTGAGCTATTATAGAACCTACTTTTGCCTAAAATTTCATCATACCTATTTTAGTAATTTTGAGGAAATACTTCTTAATAAGTTGCTAAAAATAAGTGTTTTATACACTCACTAAATAGTCTGTCACCTAAATCATTTTAGTGAATGAACTAATTGAAATATGATTATTTTTTATTTTATTTTTTGTGATGCTGGAGATTCAACCCAGAGCCTGCATTTGCTAGACAAACACTCTACCACTGAGCTACTCCCCCAACCCCACCCCAGCATTATTATTGTTTGTTTTCTTGAGATGCTGGAGATCAAACCCAGGGCTTTGGACGTGTGAGGCAAGTGCTGTACCTCTGAGCTATATACCCAGTCCTATTATTATTATTATTATTACTGCTGTTACCAGTATTATTGTTGAGACAAGGTCTTGCTATGGAGCTCAGGGTGGCCTAGAACTTGCTGTGTATCCCAGGTTGGCCTTGAACTCATGATCCTCCTGCTTGAGGCTCTAGAATGTTGGGATTATAGGCCTGCACCACCACTCCTGGCATCCCAGTTTAAGTTGTTTTCAGCAGTGTATCTGGGACTCAGGAACTGTTATCAGTTAGGAGTAGTGTTGCCGACAGCCTTAATTATCTTCTTGGATCTGCTGTATGGTGCCAGGTCATTGGTAAATGAGACATTGAGTTATCTTGGATGTGACTTCAATTTCAGGGTTAATTCTAAATGGAAAGGAATATCAGTTAACCATCCAGCCCCTTTAGATACTGTCCTCTTTCTTTGATTTTCTTAAAGTTATTTGACCCTCCTCTGGTTCTTTTCTAAAATACCACAACCATTAAAACAAGGGAAGATGAATGGGCAGTTTAACTTATTAATCAGCCCTATAAAGATAAATATTTTTTGATTTTCCTTTTCCTTTGAATAAAGAAACATTTTATTATTTGTTTCTTATTTTAATGTAAATCATAGTATGAAAGTAAAAAAATGTTTATTTGGTTTTTGGAAGGTGGCACTTTTTACTAACACTAGGATATAACTTCCTGCTTGGTAGGAATTTAACTATTATTTTCATTTTGATTAACATACAATTCTGTAATCACCACTAAAACTAGTGTCATTCTTGGGTAGGAATGGTATCTGGAATTCAACAGAGCCCAAACAAGCATTTTATTTTAGTTGGTTATGGAGCCCTCCTTGAGTTTATAAAGAAGAAAAGGAAAAACTCACATCCAATGCCTCCTAGGTGCCAGGCAGTGGCTGTTATTTTGTGGAATCTTTACAACAGACTTGTGCAGTGGATGTTATTAGTCTATTTTCTAGACCAGGAAATAGTGGAGTAAAGTGACAAAGCTAAAGTTTACTTCTAAGTCTTTTTTGCTCTAAAATCTCCCATAAACTCTGGAGTACCCTGCTTCCCATTGTGTAGACCCAGAAATGCTAGTGCCTGGCTTATGATAGTGTTTATTTACTTTTGAGTGCTATTTAAACTTTCTATTTTGGAAAATTTCAAATATATAGAAAAACAGCACTATTTAACAAACCCCAGTGTACCTATCATTTTGTGTCAGTAGTCTAGTCTTACTTCTTTTCTGCCTCTACATTTCCACTCCTTGATTATTTTGAAGTGGGTCTTAGCTGTATTGGTTCCTCTATAAGTATTTTAGTTTATGCTACTGAAAGATAAGGACCTTTTTTTAATGTGCCCACAATATCATGAGTTATCTATAAAATGTAACAATAATTCCTGAATATCATCAAATATCCAGTTAGTTCCTTAAACTACCTCTTATAGTGCTTTAAAAAATCAAGGTACTAGAGTTCTCTTTATAATCTCATTTAATGTGAAAAGTTTCTGAGTTAAGAGGGGGTTAGGAGATTTGACTAAATCTTTTTACATTTTCAGTTCTGGGACCAGAGATACAACTTATGTCATGAGTATTCTTTCCTGTGTCTTATTAGACAGGTATTTTCTTTGTACTTTTCTATCATATGATCCCATTGAAAAAACATTTGAAAATGCTATGCCATCTAAACTGATCTCTCTGTAAATGTGGAATGATCTCCAGCTTTTGTGATTTTGGTAGAAAAACAAGCAAGAGGGATTGGGTGGCAGTGGGAGATGATGGAGGAAGCTGTGAGTACCAGAAATGAGAATATTACAGAGGTGGAATGAGAATAAAGAATGACACAAATGGGGGCTGGCAGTGTGGCCCAGTAGTAGAGTATCTGCTTAGGTTGTATGAGACCCTGTGTTTGATCCCCAGCTCTGCAAATTGTGAGAAGTGGTCTTGGGTTGTTGAGTATGCCAGTTTTTTGTATGACATTATGTCTCATCTGGTTGACTTACTTGAGTCAGGCTTGATTCTAGGTACTGATGGTAAGTCAGTGAACAAACCAGACAGGATCTTTGTGGAGCTTGTCTTGGTGGGTGCAATTGTCACCTGATGATGACAGAGCTTTGCTTCTGGTCATGTAGCTATTGTGATACTTGTCTCAGCAGAAAACTCCATTCCTAGCCACAATAGTTCATAATGTGAAGGCTTTAAAATCTGAGAAGCAAATCTGTTTTTCTGATTTGAAGGTGCCAGTGATGATGCAGTTAGCTGTTCAGTGATGCTGGAAGTCCTTCGTGTCTTGTCAACATCTTCAGAAGCCTTACGGCATGCTGTGGTATTTCTCTTCAATGGAGCTGAGGAAAATGTCCTGCAAGTGAGATTCACCATTTTAAATAGTAGGCTTGAATGGCAATGAGATGAATAATAATAATGATAGCCAACACAGGTGCATTTTTATTAATAGGAGTAATATCATAAAATGATAAACTAAAGAAGTATTGTACCTGGCAGTACTTTAAAAAAAGTCCATTTATGTGAACATATGCAATATTTGAAAAACTCGAAGCAGGTCATCTTGGCTGAATTTGGTTCATTTATTTATTTTCAAATTTTTTTTTTTTTGAGAAGTTGGTTTAATGTTGGGGGAGGCAGGGACATGAAGCAATAAAAGTGGCTTCTGTGGTCTTATTTTCAAATTTTTTATTAGCATAAATTAATCGTACAAAAAGGTTTCATTGTGGTATTTATATAATGCATAAAATTTACTTTAATCAATTTTTATTTATTTGTTTTTGAGACAGGGTCTCACTATGTAGGCTAGACTGGCCTAGAACTCATGATTCTCCTACCTCAACTTCCCCAGTGCAGAGATTATGGGCTTGTGCCACCATGCCTGGGTCAGTATTTGGTTCATAAAAGGCTTCTTTTTTTTTTTTTTTTCTTTTCATAAAAGGCTTCTTTATAGCATAATTACTCTGTACCTATTTTCTTAGACCCTGGAGTTTCAGAAATGTTTTGAGGCAGGCACATTGCATTAATGTCCAACCATATAGATTATCTCTTTTCTACTCCTCTGTTTTATTTGCCTTTTCTTTTGCATATCCTCACACTTAGCAAAGATGTTGTTTGGGCACCACTACTAGAATCAGGCTACCTCTGTGATGGTTTATTGTGCAATCAGCAAACTGCACATAGCCATTATTCATAGAAAGAGAAACAGAAGATGTCTTTAGAGACTACCTTTGAGAAATGATTGTTTTATTCTCATATTCTTTACCTTACCAGGATAACCATTCTGTCCTTAAAGTAAGCAAAATAAAAACTTTTGATAGTTTAAGATTGTCTAATCATGTTTGTTTTCATTCCTTGTCATTAAGGCCAGTCATGGTTTCATTACTCAGCACCACTGGGCCAGCTCTATTCGTGCATTTATTAACTTGGAGGCTGCAGGTGTTGGAGGGAAGGAACTCGTATTCCAAACAGGTATGTGGGACTCTTGTTTATTTTTATGGAATTCTAGTTTTTATGAAAGTAGAAAGTTTTTGAACTTAAGTAAGCTCTTTAACGAACAATCTCTTGAATGGGCATTCTTTTTATGGCATGAGGTAGTTTGAGATTGTTAAAATTCTTTAACAAAGTAATATTAATAGCACTAACACTTTGTAGTGCTTATTATGCCAAGTATTATTTAAAACATCTTATATACATCAAGCCATTTAGTATTCAAATCAACATGAGAAGTATGTAGTGTTAGTATTGCCATCTTACAAATTAAGAAACTGAAGCAAGATAGTATAACTTGTCTAAGGCTTCACAGTTGGTAAATGTCAGAGCTTGGTTGAACTGAGGCAATCCAGGTTTAGAGAGTTTGTTTGTAACCACTAGCCAAATTGTCGTAGAGGCATTGAACATTCTTTTTATCCATTGTAGGTAATTATGATATAAATAATTTTATCCTAAAAAAATTTTTTGGTGGTACTGGAGATTGAACTCAAAGCCTGGAGTTTGCTACTAGGCAAGTGCTCTACCACTTGAGCTATGCCTCTAGTCCATAAATATTTTTAAATGACAATGATTTCCTCAATGAGAAAATTTACCTGAAGTCTAAAGGATTTAAATTTATAATTGAATTGATTTGAATGTCAGAAAGTCAAGTAATATTTAATCACCCAGAGAAATATTTTAAATTGTATGACTTAGCTTCTCTAAGGATAGCAAGATTTAATTGATAAATATCAACTTAATTGTCATCTTAACAGAATTCCAAGCTCATAGATTTGATTAGTCAGGGCCTACTAAAATCTGACATTGAAAGTTCCATTTCATCTCCATTAGAAATTTGAGCTGTAGAGCATTTGTAAGAAATTTTTTGTTTTTGTTTTTGTTTTTTTTTTTTTTTGACAGGGTTTCACTATGCAGTGCAGGTTTGTCCTGAACTTGCCATGTAGGCCAGGCTGGCCTTGAACTCATGATTCTCCTGCCTCCTTCTCCCAAGTGCTGAGATTACAAGCCACACACCATCATGCTCAGCTTGCTAGAAGTTTTAATATTGAGTAGTATGTTGGGTGAAGGGCTAGGGGAAGTGAGTAAGGTGATATGGGAACTTGTTTTGTAGCCCCTGAAGACATGGTATTGTTTCAGTTACAAAGTTATGCTAAGTGCCAAGTGTGTTTTATAACCTAAATAGCACAACACTTAAAATATTTTCCAATTAATTTTGAACTATTTTATCCTTCAGTGCGGATATATATTTCACTTCAGCTAAAACCTTTGAGAATCGCAAGGTCACACAGAGTTGTGCAATCATCATCTTAATTCTAGAACATTTGAAAATCACCCCTGAAAGAAAGTGTGCTTATTAGCAGTCACTCTGATTTTCCCCCAACCCCAGGCAACCACTTGTCAACTTCTGTCTTTATAGATTTGCCTCTTCTAGATGTTTCATATACATGGGATCATGTAATATGTGGTCTTTTATATCTGACCTCTTTTATTTAGTATGATGTTTTTGAGGTTCATCCATGTGGTAGCATATATCAGTACTTTACTTTTAATTTTAATGGCTGAAAAACCCACAATTTTTTTTTCTTTTTGTGGGACTGGAGTTTGAAATCAGGGCTTCAAGCTTGCAAAGCAGGAGCTCTACTGCTTGAGCCATGACTCCAGTCCATTTTGTGCTGGTTATTTTGGAGATGGGGGTCTTAAGAAGTATTTGCCTGAGCTGACCTCAAATTGCAACCCTCCAAATCTCAGCCTCCCAAGTAGCTATGATTATAGTTAAGAACCACTGGCCTGCTTTCCTAAATACAATTCTCTCTTGTCTTTTTGTTTTTGCAGTGCTGGGGATCTAAATCTGGGGACTTCTACTTGGTGCTCTACCTAACTAAGACTATTAGTATTCTTATTTTTGTGATAGTCACATTTTCAAATTTATAGTTTAGCTTTACCTGTTTGTCAGTATAGTTTTAATTATATCTTAATAGTATAATTTTAATTAATATTCTCTAATTCTAATAGTAACAATAATAGTGTTTTAATATAAGGTCTTATAATAGGTTTTCCCACCATCATTTTTCTTTTTATTTATATTTTTGTCTTTCTCAGTATCACATGAGGTGGCATAGAGTATCTATTTGTCTTATTGCTGATAATGTTAACTTTTCATCATTTGGTTAAGGTGTTGTGATGGTTAATCTTGATTGTCAGCTTGATCGGATTGAGAAGCTCCTAGGAGACTGGTAACACACACCTCCAGGTGTGTTTGTGAGGATGTTTCTGAGAGCATTGACTAAGGGGGTGAGACAGCCCTGAATGTGGGCAGCACAATCCCATATACTGCAATAAAAGGGGGAAAAATAAAAAGCTGTTAGTACAGGCATTCTTTCTTTGCTTTCTGGTCACCATGATGTGAGCTGCTTTTCTTGCTGTGTGCTCCCTGTCATAATGTCAGGACTGAAATCTCTGACAATGTGAGCCAAAATACTTAAAGACATCCAATTCTTCCCTTGAAGTTGTTTTTCTCAGTTATTTATCACAGCGATGAAAACCTGATTTACACAGAAATTTGATACCAAGAAATGGGGTCATTGCTGTGACCCTGACAATGTGTGGTTCTTAAGCCTTTGGAACTGGTTTGTGGGAGGAATTTAGAAATGTTTGGAGATGCTAGAGAAGCCATAGGATGCTATGGGTTATTCAGGGGTTGAGGGGGACTCAGAAGACCAGAATGCTGATAGGAATGCAGATAGTAGACTGTGCTTGTAAGGTTTCAGATGGAAACTAGGACACTACTGGGAATTGGGTTAGAGACCATTTATGTTATATCCTGGCAAAGAACTTGTCTATATTTTTTATGTGTTTTGAGACTTTATGGGAAGTTGAGTTTAGAGGTGATGGACTAATTTGGCAGAGAAAATTTCAAGGCAACCCAGTATTTATGCTGTGGCATGGGTTTTGCTGGCTGCCTTTAGCCAGGTTTATAGTGAGAATCAAAGCTTGTAATTGGGCCAGAAAATAAAGCTGAAGGAAGGTATTGTTAAAGAGATTGTCCCAATAAAAAAGAAGCCAAATACTTTGCAGTGGGACAATAGGAAAGATACCTTAAGGATACCATTAGAATCATTGAGATCCTACCATCACAGGGCCAAGGATGAAGGACTTGGACTCATTTGAAAGACTTTGCCTTGAGAAGAATAGCCTGGCTAACTGCTCGTGCTGGCAGTAGACCTTGTTGCTGTCTATGTGATGCTGGTTTTGCAGGCATGCAAAATGTAAGAGTTATGGGGTCATGGAGTCTTCTACCCATATTTCAAAGGAAAGTCTGGGAGGCTAGGCAATGTATATCAGGGTTGCAGTCCCTGCAGGTTGACTCTGAGAGGGTGATGTATGAAACTGAGAGTGCAGACTGATCTACAGTAGAGACTCAAAAAAGGTAGTGATGCCAGAACATGGAATGTCTACTAAGGAAAGCCACAGGCAGTGAGGGAAGTCAGTCAAGAAAGAGGCCATGTAGGCTGCAGACAGCAAGGTTGTAAGGGTGGGATGCCCAGGTCCAGTGAGCCCAGGATACTGGACATTTGCCCTGGGTTTCTGTCCTGCTTTGATACCACTCTTCCTTCCTATGCCCCCATTTATTTTTGGAATGGGAATATTTACTCTGCCATTGTAATATTTCTTTCCTTTCCTTTTTTTCTTTTTGCAGTACTGGGGTTTGAATTCAGGGTCTAGGCAGGTGCTCTATCATTTGATCCACACCTCCAGTCCTTTTTGCTGTAGTTATTTTTCAGGTAGTATCTTGTGTTTGCTCAAGACCAGCCTCAGACTGTGATCCTCCTACCTATGGCCTCTTGCATATCCTCTCTCTCTGCTTGCTGGCCACCATGATGTGAGCCTCCGTGCCTTGGCATGCCCTCCCTGACATGATGAACCAACACCTGATAGTGAGCCAACATAAAGAATTGTTCTCTTAAGTTGTTTTTCTCAGTGATGAAAACCTGACAAATATAGATATTTGCTAGGTTTTCCTACTGTTTTACCCTTTGCAAGGTTATTGTCTTTCCCTTAGTAACAAGTACTTTGAGATTTCTTACAAAACATTGACTTAGTTTTAGCAATCATTGCTAATTCTTGCCCCAAACCTTTTTTACTGTTTGTCACATGCTGGTTTTCTAGCTTCCTCATTCCATCAATAGTTAATAGTTGAAGTTACTAGAAGAAACACTCCTTTTCTCCTTTTTTGTTTATTTATTTCAGTATTTAATGTATTTTTATTTTATTTTATAAAATATTTTATTTTACTTTTTAATTTTATCTCGCAGTTATCCTGCCTTTGCCTCCCAAGTGCTGGAATTATAGGTGTATGTCATCATGCCTGGCTTTCTGTGTATTTTTACTTTATTCTGTAGCATATATATTCTGTCATTATTCCTTTAAATATTGCTCCTGTTCCATGTGTCTCTTGTTCTCTTGGGACTGCAATTATGCATATGTTAGACCTTTTCAGTGTATCCTGTATTTCCTTTATACACATTTCTGTGTATACCATCCCTTTTTCTTTCTGTGCTTTTTTACTTGTGATCATAATTATTTTAAAGTCTGTGCCAATAAACTCCAGTGGCTGGGTCACTTGTGTGTCTGTTTGTATAGTGCCCTGTCTCCCGTTTTTGGTCATTTTTTTTTTAAATGTGGGAAAATAGTTTGGTAGTGTGTTTATAAAGTTATAAAAACAGTGTTCCCAGATTCTACAAAATGTGATTACTTGGTCTGTTACATCAATATATTGACATTTTCAGAAAAACTTTTTTATAGTTTAAAGTAATTTTATGTTTATAAAAGGTTATTTTTATTTTAAAAAATGATAGAAATATATCAGAGAAATATTAGAAAATACAGAAGAAGGGATTAAGTAATAAAGTCTTCATCGCTCTTTCTAAACCGCCACTGTTAGGTATTTTTGGTATGTTAAAAAAAAAATCAGTCCTCAGGCTGGTGATGTAACTAAGTGGTAGAGTGGCTCAATTCCTAGCATTGCAAAAATACAAAAATGAAAAAAAAATAGTAGGGTATGTTAAAAAATTTACCAGGTTATCTGGAAACCAATGGCTCACACCTATAATCCTAGCAACTTGGGAGGCTAAGATTGGGAGGACCATGGTTTGAGGCTAGCTCAGGCAAAAATGTCTAGAGAAACCCATCTCATCCAATAGTGGGGACAGTGGCACATACCTGTCATCCTAAGCTACACTGTTGGCTGAGATCAGGAGGATTGCTGTCCCAGGCAAGCCAGGGCACAAAAGTTTGTGAGACCTCATCTCAACAGAAAAAAGGTGGGTGTGGTGGTTCATGTCTGTCATCCCATAAATGGCAGGTAGCATAAAATAGGAGGATTGTGGTCCAGGCTGGCTTAGGCAAAAAGTGAGACTCTTATCTCCAAAATAACCAGAGCAAAAAGGGCTGGAGGTATGGCTTAAGTGGTAGAGTGCCTGCTTAGGATGCATGAAGCCCTGAGTTTAAACCCTGGTATCGCCCTCTGCCCCCCACCCCGACAAAAAAAATTACCAGGTTAACCTTGTATTGTATTGTCATGTTTCATTTCAGGCCCTGAAAATCCTTGGTTGGTTCAAGCTTATGTTTCGGCAGCTAAACACCCTTTTGCTTCTGTGGTGGCTCAGGAGGTTTTTCAGAGTGGAATCATTCCTTCAGATACTGACTTCCGTATCTACAGGGATTTTGGGAACATTCCAGGTATTCCGTCATCAAAAACAAGCTTCACTTCTTCAGTTTGTGAGAACGCATTCTGATAGCTATACATTCTGACTTGCTAAAATAGAGTTCTTAATGTTTTTCCTTTTTTTAAAGCTCCATAGTAATTTAAATGCTTGCCTCCTCTAGAATATATTGTCTTGCTCCACAATGTGACAGTAGAATGGGGGAAAACTGTTCAGCACTTCATTCCCAAAGATGGTAATCCTTTAAGAGTCTTTGACTTTCATTGTTGTGTGGGTTTGTCAACTCCCTCAGTGACTTTACAGCTTATTGAAGTTAAAATTTGGCTCTGGCCAGACAAGGATATAGATGACAAAATTTTGATGACTGCCCAAATTCAGTACCTCAGACTTCCTCCTCTCTGTGAAGTAGTACACTTCCTTAATCATGTACTGAATTATGGACCATCATATAGAATTTTTTAAAATGGAAGAGAATTTATACCATTCATTCATAAATATGGTGGAGCTATCAATCATCCCACTGCTTTGACATTTTGTCTTTTAGTAATTTATTAAATAAATAGTCCAAAAGCAAGGTTGATCTTTAAAGCAAAATGAGTTTTTTTCTTGTGTGTTTTAGGAATAGACTTAGCTTTTATTGAGAACGGATACATTTATCACACCAAGTATGACACAGCGGACAGAATTCTGTCAGATTCTATTCAGAGAGCAGGTTGGTATTTCAAGTTCAACTTTTTTTTTTTCAGTACTGGGGTATGTTTGAACTTGGCCTCAACACTTGCAAGTCAGGCCCTTTTGACTTTATTTTTCAAATAGGGTCTTGTATTTATGCCCAGGCTGGCCTGGACTGTGATCTTTCTCTTTATGCTTCCTGCATAGCTGGGATGACAGGTATGCATTGCCACACCTAGTTTTTTAGTGATTGAGATAATATCTCCCTAACTTTTTACCTTGCCTGTCTCAAACCATAATCTTCCCGATCTCCACCTCCTGAGCAGCTATAATTATAGGTGTGAGCCACTGTTTGTGGCTCCAAGTTCCAGTTTTGATATACATTAAGGTGAAGTGTTAGGGGTAACCTATAAGGGTAACCTATAAAAATACAAATATTCTGTAGCCTGTGCATTGCAGAATTGGTATGAAGTGGAATGAGCTAGAGATTTGGAGTTGGAGAGATGAAGGCTTGAATTTTTAGTCTTGCTGTCTGACTTAGCAATTAAAAACATAGAAGCATTCACTGAGGACTTGGAAAGGGAGTGACCCAGGGTTTTGGTAGGATTGTTGAACAGTGTAAGTCTAGCCAAGGTCAAAGCTATGAATTGGAGGGGACACCAGGACACAAGTGTAGGCAGTTTTTTTAGTGTAGAAAATAGTTATATTTTATAGTTCATGATTGGTGGTGAAGGGCAGGTTAGAGGCTTCAGCATAAGGATTTAAAGTGCTTTCAAGAGCAGTCTGGAGTAGTCAGAGGAGGCAAATCTGATGCTGAGCCTTAAAGACTTAGTAGGATTTGGCTTGTGAAGAAAAGAGTACTTTCCAAGTAAGTGTATAGCTTGAGTCGAGTGTGTTTGTATGTGGGAGGCTGTTGGTGAGTAGACTAAAAGGGAAGCAATATCTTCAGAAGTAGAGGAAGATGAAGTATACAGGGGAGTGGAAATTGTAGAAGGCTTTAAAAGTCATCAAGAATTCAGTGGTAGAGTGCTTGCCTAGTATGTACAAGGTCCTGTGTTTCATCCCTGGTACCACAAAAAAGAAAAGAGATCAGCAAGAAGATGCCAAAGGACTAAGGATCCTTTGAATGTCTGAGTCTGTGAATGAACTCATTATGATGGTTTTAAGTGCTGTTGGTCTAGTAACTCAGTGTGGCCATAGAGAGCCAGGAGCTGGGACTGTTCTGACAGTGATTTATATGTGGAATAAGGAGGGTCGTAACTGTGGAGTTGATAAAAGAGAAATGAAAGGGAGGGGTAGAAAATTAGATACATTTTGAATGTGAATCCAGTAAGACTGGACAGGTTGGAAAGAAGAGGTAAATTAGATGAACTTAATTTGGGGAAGCAGACTGTGAGCTCTGTTAGGTAAGTAAGATGCGGGGGTTAGAACCAGCCTGATGAAAACAGATGTGGTGTTGGAGTTCTTGGCAAAACTTGGCTTGTGGGTTTGGGAATTAGTGGCATAGGGAAAGCAACACGAGAGGGAATGGACACGATTTTTACAAGAGTGAAGCAGAGGCAGAAGAGTAATACTGAACTTTGTAGAAAATATGTTTTTAAGCAAGAAGGTTGAAATGAAGAATGTTAAAAAGAAGCCAGTGAAAGAAATTTGGTGGTCAGAATGTAGTTTTTTCTTTTTTTTTTTTTTGGCTAGGGACCAAACTCAGGGCCTTGCACTTGCTAGGCAAGCACTCTTCCACTGAACTAAATCCCCAACCCTGAGTGTGGTGTCTTACGTGAATAGAAGGAGGAAGTCAAGAATGGGATGAGCAACAGGAAGAAATGTAAATCATTCAGGGCTTCTTACTGCTCCTGCATTAAAGTTTAAATGCAGCCATGTGCAGTGGCACATGCGTGCCTGTCATCCCAGCTCCTTGAGAGGCTGAGAGAGGAGGGTCACTTGGGCTCAGGAGTTTGAGGCCAGCCTGGGCAACATAGTGAGATACTGTATATATATAAAAAAAGTTTAAATGCATTCATTCATTCATTGATGTAATAAATATTTATTACAGACCTTTGATATGCAAGGTTTTTGCTATGACTCTTCTTGCTTCTCTAGCTTCATTGCTGAATACTCTTTCCTCATTCAGGACTTTTTCCTGTTTTTGGAACTTTTCCTCCTTAAGGCTTTCATCTGCACAGCTCTTTCAGTCTAGATAATCTTTCTCATTGTAACTAGCTCTTATTCATTGTTTGCCTATAAATATCACTTTGTTGGGTTGCTTTCTTGACCTCCCAAACTCCATTAGTCTCCTACAACTACTTCTCCTCACTAATTGTTTTGTTTTGTTTTTTTAGGGACAGGGTCTCACTATGTAGCCCGGGCTGGCCTTGAACTCACAATCCTTCTGTCTCCTCACTGATTTTTTTGTTTGTTTGCTTTTGATGCTGAGGATCAAACCCAGAGCCTTGCACATACCAGGCAAGTGCTCTACCACTGAGCAACATTCCCAGCCCTTGGGTTTTTTCTTTTTTTTTTTTTTGAGATAGGGACTTGGTATATAGTTCAGGATGGCCTAGAACTTTTAATGCTCCTACTCTAGAGGCCTCCCCTCCATAATAATTCTTAATATGCTTGTAACAACTTTTCTGAGCCTATGAACTTCATGAGAGGCCTTTGTCTCTTGGTTCACCACTGAGTTTTGGTATCTAGAACAGTGTCTAATATAGTTAATATGTAGTAAATAAATGGGTCTAAGTACAGCATTGGTTGTGCAATTGATGTTAGAGAATAGTTCTAATAGAAGAGAAAAGCTGAGCTTCTAAGTAGGGAGCAGGGACCTTATTTGAGAAATTTAGTGAAAGTTGAGGAGAGCACTAGGATGGTAGAAAATCTTGTCCACATTCTTCCCAGCTATTTTTCTATTCAAATAGTAGATGGTTTGCTTCTGCTTTATAAGGTTGTACATGTAAATCACATTCAAATAGTTTATTCAGTATTGTTTTCTTTCTTATTAATAGGTGACAACATTTTAGCAGTCCTTAAATATCTAGCTACATCTGATATGCTGGCTTCTTCGTCTGAATATCGACATGGAAACATGGTCTTCTTTGATGTCTTTGGCCTGTTCGTTATTGCCTACCCCTCTCGTATTGGCTCAGTAATAAACTATATGGTGGTAGTAGCTGTTGTATTGTACCTGAGCAAAAAACTGATGCAGCCCAAACATAAGAGTAAGTATTTCCCTCTAAATATTAGATTGATATGCTCACCATACTTTTAGTCTTGATGAAGTAGACCACTGTTACAAACTTATTCCACAGAAGTATCACATAGAGCTATTGAAAAATAGTTTGTATAGATTAACTTCCATTGAAAATTCCCATTAAAAAGTCTTTTCCAAGCTGATCACTGGTGACTCACACTTGTAATCCTAGCTACTTGGGAGGCTGAGATCAGGAGGATTATGGTTTGAGGCTAGCTGTGGCAAATAGTTCATGAGACCCCATCTTAACCAATAGAGAGTTGCAGTGGTATGTCTCTGTCATCCCAAGCTGTGGGGGAGGCTGAGATCAGGAGGATCTTGGTTCCAGGACAGCTTGGGCAAAACTAAGTTTGTCATATCCCATCCCATTTGAAAAAAGCTGTGTGTGGTGGCTCACTTCTGTCATCCCAGGTATAAAATAGAATCATGGTTCAGTCTGGCCTGGCAAAAAAGGAGACACTATCTCCAAAATAACTAGGGCAAAAAGGGCTGGTGGAGTGGTTGGAGTGGTAGAATGCCTGCCTAGCAAGTGTGAAGCCCTGAGTTCAAACCCTAGTAAACCACACCCTCCACCTCCCCCCCCACAAAAAAAAAGTCTTTCCCACACTATAGACTAGTAGCACACTGTTCTGAAGTATGAATGGATTACTTTTGGTCAAATTGTTCCCTTCTGCTTGAAATGCTTAAGTTGTTATGAACTATTATAAGATAAAGTATTAAGTAACAATTTAAATAATTCTTTATCACCAGGTACTTTCCCCATGTCCTTATATCTTCCTATGTTACTTCCTTTAAAGATTTTTATGGAACTTCTCCTTGCTAATTTTTTTTTTCTTCAGTTCTGGGGTCTTATGCTTGCTAGGCAGGTGCTCTATCACATGAGCTACACTCCCATCCCTTTTTGCTTTAGCCATTTTTCAAATAGGATCTTTCATTTATGTCCTGGCCAGCCTGGGCTGCTATCCTCCTATTTACACTTCCTGTATCATGCCCAGCTTTTGAACTCAGGGCTTTGTGCTCTCTCTAGCACTTGAGCCATACCTCCAGTCCAAAATACCTAGCATCTGTTGGTTGAGGTGGGGCCTCATGAACTTCTCCCCCAGGCTGGTCTTGAACCACACAATCTCTGCCTCCAGAGTGGCTAGGATTACTAAAACATTAGCCACTGCACCTGGATCCTTGCTAATATTTTGATACACAAAGCATCCCAAAGGTAATGAAGATTAAAACTACCCACTTCCTTAGTAAGAAATGAATCTGACCATGTTCCTGGAAGTCATAATCTCTTTGAGTCATTAGTATCCCCAGACTCTCAATAAATGTTTCTTGAATATAATCCCTTATACTTTCCCTGTTCTAATATTTAACAGTCCTCAACACTAGGACATTGCAGTACTTTATAATGATGGATTTTTTTTTATTTAAGCAAAAGCTAGATTTTATTGAAGCAGAAGCAAATGTAAAGCCATAGTCTGCCCTGGAAGGAAAGTGAGGGACTGGGGGCTAATAATGAAAGATTTTTGTTTTAACACTTGCCTCTTTCGCCCTGTTAACTGGTTATGTAATTGATTTAATGAAGATGGTGACCTTAACTTTTTGTTTTCTCTTCATTAGCTATTAACTACATGAAAGACTTCTTGTGCGGACTTGCCATCACTCTCATTAGCTGGTTCACTAGCCTTGTTACAGTTCTCATTATAGCAGTGTTCATCTCTCTTATTGGACAGTCTCTTTCATGGTATAACCACTTCTATGTCTCCGTGTGTTTGTATGGAGCTGCAGCTGTAGGCAAGATAATATTCATACATACCCTTGCAAAAAGATTTTATTATGTGGTAAGTATTAGGCATATTTATTTATTTATTTTTTTCCTGCTTTTGTGATTTAAAGACAAACTCAAGTGGGAGTCATTGTATTTGGTCTTTTGAGCTATTAGAAATTGCTCAGCATGGTTATAGAAAATGCTCCCACATCTGTGTTAATTTGCTGGATGTTTTCTTCTTTTGAGCATTGTGATGTAGAATTCAAATGAAGTTAAAAAGCTGTGGTATAAGCAGTGTAGGATGGGGTTGATGAGGAGTCTTGTTTGCACAGCTTGCTGCCTCTGCTGTGTTTGCTGCAGCTTTTGTAGCTGTGTTTTGTCTACCAAGTTACCCTGTGCTTACCCAGATATTTATGTTGTTTCAATTTCACTATTCTCCACTGGAATATAAGCTTCATGAGGGCAAGCATTGCTTTATTCATTGCTGCATTCTCTATGCTTAAGCTATCTCTGATACACAGCACTAACACAGTAAGTATTTGTTCCTAAAATTTAAAATTTTTATTTTATCGTTTTTTTTGGGTGGTTCTGGGATTTGAATCAGGACTTCATGCTTGCTAGGACGGGCACTCTACCATTTGAGCCTCCAGCCCAATATTTATTTATTTTTTTGGCGCTTATTGCCTAAAAGAATGTTGCATTTAAAGTTTTCAGTTTTTCCTTTATTTATTTTTTCTGTTTCTGACGGAGGTTTTGACAGAATGCATGTGTGTTAAAAAGGTTAAAGACACATTGCTAAGGAAGGAGGTGGGAAGGGAAATAGGGTTTCAAATGATTTATACTATTTTTAGAGAATATTTTATTATGGTTACAATTATGTATTTGGTAAAAACAAAATGAAAAAGTATGGTTATGAAATAATAGGACTAAAAGTAAATTACAGAAAAAGGGTTGTAATTTCTGGTTTCCTAAGTGAATTAAAGTAGAAAATCGTAGCTCCCTTGTTTTCAAGACAATCAATGGATACCTGCTTTCTTTCTGATTGCTCCTGATAGGGATTAGAATGGACATATGGAAGATGGGTATTCCAGTACCCTTCCACTAGGATGTCCTTGGTTTCTGAACCCTGGTCTCATTTTCATTTCATGTTCTGAGATGGTTTGAGGATATGCAGGTACTATTGAAGAACAGTTCTTTGAAGTTATTTGTCTGCATATGGTTAGATCATACCTGTATTTTAGTCACTTCAGTTTACAAAGCATTATACTATGGGGCTCAGTATCGCATGCTTATTCTTACTGTACCTCTCTATATAATCAGAGTATGGTTGAACATTGTTGATTGGGGCAGAGTGGTATAGAAAGGCTAGGTTAAATTCTATTGACTTTCACTAATTTCAGTGGTCTGATTATAAAACTGGGCTGAAGCTGAAAACACAGTGGAAAAAATAATGTGTTTCATTTTCATTTCACAAATACTCTTTAAGCACTCCGTGGGCATGATCTTATGCTGAGGCTTCACGATACTGAGATTCATGAGAATGTGTGCTCTCTTTGAGGAGTTCAGAGTTTCATGTGGGAAGATGCAGGAACTACAGTGATGGCAGTACATTGTGGAATGAAGTGAAATAGAATGACATATACACAGTGCTGTGGGAATGCAGGGGCAGGAGAGATAAATTTTGTGTGTGGAAGGCAGGAAGCCTTCATGAAGGAGATGGTGACATTTGAATATTTTGGTTTTGGACCCAGAGCTTTGGGCTTGCTAAGCAGACGCACTGCTGGTTGAGCCACACCTCCAGCCTGAATGAGGCTTTTGATGCTTGAGTAGGTTGACAGGTAGAAAACAGGTTGATGAGCAATCACAGGTGGGAAAGTTCAAGATGCATGTGGGCAACAGTCGGTAAAGGGTCCGTGCGGTGAAGACAAGGTGATAGTACGGAGCAGTACTCTGAAAATTAGTGGGCACCATCAAAATTTCCTTAGCCTGACAGTGATTTTGCGACTTAGGAGGAAGACTAGAATAGGGCAGGTGTGGGAGGGATGAACACTGAGGATGAAAATAGAGTTGAGAAATACTTGTTTTATCTTTGGGTCAGTTTGGGTACTTGCTGTAAAAATATTCTCACTTATTTCAGTTTCCATTGCTGTGATGTTTTATTTTTCTATTTGAATAGCATTCAGTTTCAGATTGTGTTGATCATCTATTTAACGACTGTAGCTTGTCTTTCATTGTGCAAGGGGAAGCTTGTCAAATGACTTTAATTTGTTATGAAAACACATGACAGAAACTCTTGAGCTCTTGAAGTGGGGTCCCTTAAGACAAAACATGCCCTGAGAGAAACAGAAATGATAAGGCAGAGGCAAAAGAAACTTAAAGATGTGTTTTCATTTTGGTATTTATGCTGTAACTGTAACTTTCATTTTTGTGTTAATAGAATTACTCTAGCAGCTGTTCAAATGTGTTTTTTTTGGTTTGTTTGTTTGGCAGTACTGGGGTTTGAACTCAGGATCTCACACTTGCTAGGTAGGGTCTCTACCACTTGAGCCACTCTACCATTTTTAACTCTACCAAGGCTACCAAGTTAAAAATGTTTTAACTTTGTAATGCAACTTTTTTCTGAAGAGTACAGGGTGCTCTACAGAAGCCATTGGATAGCAAGACTAAAAACTGTAGCTCAAATTTTATAATATGAAAGCACAGGGAATATAAAAAGGGCCAAAGGTGTAAAGGGGCAGAGTAAGCAGGTAGAGATAGACTAGAGTTAGGAAAATCTAGCTGAACCCATGATGGCCATTGCCACAGAGGGCATGCGGTTTTCCAGGTGCGCCATGGGTGGCACTGCAGCAGTTGATGGTGTTCCTTCACAGGCTGCTTCTCTCCTTTACTTGAAAGTCTTTGGAAGTTGTGTAGACAACAAAAGCTTACAGAATTGGATGTTTTTAGGAGAGTCCTTTTATTTTGCAACATTTTCAAGGATTTCTTTTAGCCTGGTGATGAAAGTAATCATACTGCTTTCACTATGTTCTGTTAGATTGCCCTGTCCTGTGCAGCAGTGTGAGGTTTTTGCTCTGGCAGGAGGGAGCTTTGTCAGTGTTACTTTGGTCAGTTTAAAAGAAAATGTAGTTGTCTTGAGCAGTGGGAATTATATTCTAATCAAAGATATTTATGAAGAACCCGTGAGTGAGACTACTTGTTTATTTTTCTTTCTTTCAGAATGCCAGTGACCAGTATCTGGGAGAAGTGTTTTTTGACATCTCACTGTTTGTGCATTGTGGTTTTCTCATAATTCTCACTTATCAAGGATTTTGCTCGGCATTCATTAGTGCTGTCTGGGTAGTGTTTCCATTGCTCACAAAGCTTTGCGTGCACAAGGACTTTATGCAACATGGTAGAGTATTTTTGGTTTTGATACAAATGGGAAAATACATTAAAATATTTAAGGCTTTCAGGGACTCTTATTTTTTTTAAAGTCTTACCAAGTAGGCTTTTCAAATTGCTACTATTTAAAAATATTTTCATACCATGCAAATTTTTATCTTACACCCTAAACCCCATCCCGTTCTCATGTTTAAGTACATTACTAATATTTTACCTATGTAATTCTTACTCTTTGTGGAAGTGTCTTATCTCACTAGATGACATGTACCTAACCTAATTTTTGGTAGGTACCCAGGCACATCAGCACTATAAAAATCTGTATCTCTCTGTAGAGTTTCACAGACGAATATTTTCTTTTTGTTTTTCCCTAGGTGCCCAAGGAAAATTTATTGCCATTTACCTTTTGGGGATGTTTATTCCTTATATTTATGGTCTCTACCTTATCTGGGCTGTGTTTGAGATGTTTACCCCTATTCTTGGGAGAAGTGGTACGGAAATCCCACCTGATGTTGTGCTGGCATCCATTTTGGCTGGTTGTATAATGATTCTCTCTTCCTATTTTGTAAGGAAAAAAGTTTTGCTTTCTTTATTTTTTTATGTGAATTTGTAATGAGTTTGGCCATACTTGATTCTGTGAAATAGATATTGCTTATACTTTATTGAGAAAGTCTTAAGCAAAAGATATGGTGAATGGCTGTGCATCCTGTGGCCTGAGCATGGTAAGTAAATGTAGATTGGGTTTTTTGTTGTTGCTGTGTTTTTTATTTAAAAAATACTTGCCTTCCTAGTCTCCCAAATCCTCTTTTCAAATGGATACTAATAGTGTGTTCTGAATGAACTAGTTAGAGGTAAATGTTAATAAATACATAGGTTTTTTTTTTTTTTTTTTTTGCAGCGCTGGGCCTACACCTTGAGCCACTCCACCAGCCCTTTTTTGTGATGGGTTTTTCGAGATAGGGTCTCCCGAACTGTTTGCCGGGTCTGGCTTTGAACCTCAATCCTCCTGATCTCTGCCTCCTCAGTAGCTAGGATTGCAGGCTTGAGCCACTGGCGCCCTACTACTACTACATAGTAGTTTTATTAGTGCTATTAGATGTAGTGAAGGAATACTAATTACAATGAAGCTTTTAAAATTATCATTCTGCTACTTCATGTCAAAGTTCATTAACTGAGTCTGTCTCTTAAGGTGATGCACAGTTATGATACCCAACATGCCTTCATTTACCAAGTAATAAGAGTATCATAGGCCTTGTCAGTCTTCATTTTGCCCTCCTAGGGAAGAGTCCTACCTTTGCTGTTATCTGTGTTTCTCTTCCCATGGGACTCTCCAGAGGGAAGAAAAGATGGTTGATGCTGAGTTTATGATCAGAACCCACAGTCAGGGCTCTACTCTTGGGATGGTGTCCATTCTTCTGGTACTGAGGCTGAGCTTCTCTAGGGAAGGCAGGTCTCTGCTTTCTGGTTCATTTCATTGGAATTTCTAAGGAATACTTACTGAATACCCATAGAATGCCTTGAGAGTTGCCCAACTAACTGAATAGAAAAAGAAATTATGACTTTATTATAACTAATTTCTTCATGGAGAGGATAGCTTTTTCATGCTGTTACAATTATGTATAGCTCTTGTGGAAGTTAGGTTCTGAAGACCTATGGATAACCAGGGTCAGCATTATCCATGGATATCCCTTCAAAGGCCAGGAAAGCTTAGCATACATGGATTTGCATATGTAATATTGTAGAGTAATTCTTATGTACATTATTGTTTCAGGTTGTCTGTCCTAGTCCAAAAAGAAACCTGAGCATACCTTTAAGATAACGATTAGTTCCTTACTGCCGTTTTCAGGGATGACTAGAAAGTTTTAAAATGTTCTTTGTTGCCTGCAGGGTTTACTTCTTTGGATGTTATTATTATTATTATTATTATTTTGAGGTACTAGGTTTGAACTCAGGGCTTAATGATTACTAGGCAGGTGCTATATAGCTTGCATCACACCTTCAGGGCTGAGTTTTATTATTACTTCAGAGCTCTGTATTTGTTAATAGATAGGTTTGCTGTTGTGAGGATTTAAAAGAGATAGAGGGCTGGGTATGGAGGGGAGGGCACATTTGTAATTGAGGCAGGAGGATCATGAGTTTGAGGCCAGCCTAGAATATGTAGCAAGGCCCTGTCTCAAAAAACAAACAAACACAACAAAAAGGAGGTAGCAGAATTTTGTCATCTGTAGATGCGAGTCCGAGCTAAAGTCAGTATTTATTATTCTGAATGATTTGAAGCTGTTGATGCCTGTAAGAGATGACCCAGGTATGGGACACTTGAATTAGGTTCCATTGGTCACATGGATGGGGCAAAAAGAATCCTGGAAAACACTCACTGTGAATATTGAAAATGTCCCCAAAGCATGGAAATCTTGGAATCCAGAAGAAAGATTTATGTATATTATTTCCTAAATTATATTTTACTAGGAAAGCTTTTGGAGAGAAGAGTAACTCTTGGAATATGCTAAAAATCTCATTTAATTTTCATTATAATGTGAAATAGCCCTGCTGGTCTTTGATGCTGTGGGTTATCATTTTCTTATTTATTTGTAGTAAAGATAGTGACTTATTAATAGAGTGAGATTATTCCCCTTGGGTAATGGAGTATTGAGCCACAATGTTTATTACTTCAGAGAGCTTTTCTTTCAGTCCTTGAGGGTTTATTAAATATATTTCCTAGAAAGCACTTAAATTCCTGTCAAAAGATCAGTGAACAGGTTTCCTGGGGTTACTCTTTGCTGGGCCGTCATGGTTATCTTGATTGGATGAGAGCTGGAATGGCACTGCTGATAGGAGTGAGATGAGAAGGAAGAGATTCAATGAGAAACAGCTCAGTTGCCAGTACACACTGGACATTTCAGTCCTTCTTATGTGTCTATTCATTTTATTTTGTACCAATTTAAGAACCTGAAGTAACATAGGATGCACATTTAATTTGTATATTTTTTGGTACTATTGGGGTTTGAACTCAGGGCCTTGTACTTGCCAGGCAGGTGCTATACTGCTTGAGCCATGACCCCAGCCTAGGATGCAACATTTAAGCAGAAGTAAATTTATAAAAATGATTAACTATGGAATCCAAACACATTATCACTTTATGACCATTATCTTTCTTCCCTCTCCTTCATTCTGTGATTGCTATTTCATTTATGATCACGGCCAGACATCTTCCAGAAGATGAGTGGAAGTGGCAGAAATGAGCCTCATGATTTGGAGAACAGGGAACTTGAATGTGGGAACAATAGCTTAAAGTGAGGCTTTAGGATTTTAGTAATAGCTGGCTTGAGAATGGTCATAGCAATATGACAGACATTTTTTGTTTGTTTTGTTTTGTCTTTTATTACATAAAAGACTCTGTCTAAATTTACCAGCCTTCTAGTAGAAGGGGAAACTAATTACTTGGTGGGTATGTGAAATTTTCTAAGGAGATACATTTTAAGTATTGTGACAGTTAGGAGGGAGAAGTATAGGGCTGTAAATTGTTTTGCTAACTCACTGCCTGAAATCCTGTATGCTTTTTAAAATTTCTGAACTCACAGTATATAAACATAAGCTCTTTCACCTAAGAATGGTACTGTTTTTTTAGAGATTACCCTGGATGGGATATTGGACACTATAGATATATGAGAATTCTTTAACTTGCATAGTAGAATATTGTAAGTATTGCTTAACTTTTCATTTTCATCTCAATGAAAGTATTTTTTGCATTCATGTTCTTCTCTATTTATTGAGCCTAGGAAATAAGTAAGATGAAGAAAGCAAGATAATTGTTTTTCAGTGGGCTTTTCAGACCACTTCAGATCCCTAAAGCACTGTGCACATATTTGTTAATCTTGTATGTCTTCTATAGCTTTTAATTCAGTGATTTGCTTGCAGTTAAAAAGCTAAGTAACGTTTTTATGCTAACCTTGAGACTGATTCATTCACTTATACTGCTCAAGTTCAGATTTGTTTTGATTACATCAACATTGGTTAACTTAGCACCCTAAAGAGACAGTATTATTTGTAATGCAGTTTTTCCTCAAATGCAGGTCTCCATGCAGTCTTATAGGTACATCTAAATGCTAGTTTATATGAATCTACCTCTTGGCATGTTTTAAAAGCATTTTGAATGGAATTTGAATTTGGATTTTATTGAAACACATCTGCTTAAGGTTAAGAAGCCTCCCTTTGGTAATTTAGTTGAAAGCCTTGATGCCATAATTTTTGGTACAGTTCATTGGTGTCTGCTATGCAGTGTTAATCATTGCAGGTCATTGATAGGATCAGAAATAAAATAAAGTAATGGCTTGGTTGGTGATGGATCTACATCTTCTCTGTCTGCTGATTGAGCACAGGAACACTGCTCAATTTCCTTTTCCCCTATTGCTTTCTGGCTATCAGTCAGAAGTCACTGCCATCCTGGCTAGTTGGAGGCATCTGTCATTTTCTAGGCTCTGAATTGAGATGGAAATCTCTGAGAATCAGTGTTTTGCTTATTGGGTGTTGGGTGTGTCATCACATGCTAATAAATTTCCTTCAGTGTCTGTTGGCCAATACCTGTGACAAAACAGTCAGTTAAAACACTTTCCTGCCAGTGCTATTAATTTATAATTTTTCTGTCTTTGTGTTTTAGATTAACTTTATCTACCTTGCCAGAAGCACCAAAAAAACCATGCTAACTCTAATTTTGATATGCACAGTTACATTCCTCCTTGTTTGCAGTGGATTTTTTTTCCCATATAGCTCCAATCCTGCTAATCCAAAGCCAAAGAGAGTGTTTCTTCAGGTAAGAGCAATTTTTCATGAGCCATTTGAGATTCCGGAGATGAAATTTGCCTCATGTTTTTTTAAGTTCACTAGTGAACAGAAAGAACAGATTTTTCTGTTGTTGACCTGTATAGTTATTCTAGACTTCTTTGTGTTATAAGGCAGTGAGGAAAACACTGACCATCAAGGGACATTTTTTTTTTCTAGCTGTACTGAGGTTTGAACTCAGGGCCTCACGCTTGCTAGGTAGGTACTGTACCACTTGAACTACTCCCCCAGTCCTTTTTTTGTGTTGTGTATTTTCATGATAGGGTCTTGCAAACTCTTTGCCTAGGCTGGTCTCAAACTGAGCTCCTTCTGATCTCTGCCTCCCAAGTAGCTAGGATTATAGGTGTGAACCACTGGAGTCTGCAAATTTCACTTCTTTCTTTTGGTGGGATTGGAGTTTGATCTCTGGGCAAAGCAGGTGCTCTGCCATTTGGGCCACACCTCCAGTCCCAAAGGGACATTTTTAATAGCTAGCTAAACTTACTCCTAAGAGGTGGATTTGGGAATGTTCACTGTTTTTATTACTATCCAAATTTTAAAACTGTACCTGTTTGGAAAAGCAAGAGCAAATATGTATCAGGAAATAATGAACTTTAAAAAATATAACTACAAAATTTGTGATAAATGAGTAAAAAGCTTAAACTATTAACTGGCAAAATAAAATAGATATTTTAAAATGCTAGTAAATTGAGAGCTTAAGTAACATTCAAAGTAATATGTGGTGAACATATAATAATTTAGGATTAAAATGAGATTTGTAACTTTCATGTTTTTCTCCATACTTTTTGGAGATGGTACTATAAATAAATCTATAGGTTCATGGACAAACAGCATGTCAGAGGAGTCAACCTGGATAATTATTCTTTTAAGAGAGGAAATTTTGAAAAGGGGCCAAATATTTATTGTTTATGGTCCTATAGGGCACACTGCTATATTTTATGTGACAAGTTTTATAATGCTAAACCTTTCATAAAGAAAAGACAGTTTTTAGGAGATTCAGTGGGGTTTTCAGCAGCATGCTAATTTTTATATTCATATCAGCAGTATGTAGGAAAAGGTAGATTTCTATTTTTTTTAAAGTTCTTCTCTGACTTGTTTTGGGGTTCTCTTCCCTTCTTTGCCACGCTCCCCCCCCCGTAAGGCAAAATAATAAATATTTTAGCCTTGTCAGCTATATAATCTCTATTGCAGCTAACCTATTTTGTAGAGCAAAAACAGCTATAGATTATATGTAAGCTAGTGGCTGTGTTCCAGGAAAGCTTCATTTATACAAATGTAATTTTGCCTGTCAGGTGCGTTTGTGAAACCCTGCACTATGCAACTCTTTTCTTTTCATGTTTGATATTCTTCAGGCTGTTAATAAAGCTATTTTCAATGAATCATGGTGCCTTTTCATAGAGTCCTATAGTCACAAGCCTGTCATCTAGTGGTGAGGTATGATTCCTGTTTTTCTCTGCACATGACTTAGCTTCATGTAACACACTGAAGGAGACATGAGTGTAGCATGGATTGATTTTAAAAGTTTTTCTAAAGAGAGTTCTAACATTCATGCCTTTTAAGTCTGAAATAGTTTTCAACTTTTTGTTTTTGAGACTGTTCTTGCTATGCTGCCCAGGCTGGTCTTGAACTGTTGGGTTCAAGTGATCCTCCCACCTCAGCCTTCTAAGTAACTGGGGCTACAGCGTACCACTGTGCCAGTTAAAATTTTTTTTAAAGCATTGATTTACTTTTTTTAGCTCGTTTCCAATTATGTACTTTTAATTTTATACATTTATTTTTGTTGGTTTTGAGGTTTAACTCAAGGCTCCACACTTACTAGGCAGGTACTCTACCACTTGGGCCACGCTGCCAGCCCAAATTTTTTTATATAAAATTTAAACATATATTTGTAAGATACAATAAAATAAATCATTTATGTGTCTATTATCTAGTTTAAAAGAAAAACCACTAGCAGCAATTTAGCAACCCAGTGTGTTCTCTTTTTGTTGCTCCTCATCTACATTTCTTGGTGTGATCATACTTACTGTCTCATTAATCTGGGGAGGGAATGTGAGTGAACTAGTTGAAACAGTGCTTTTCTCATTAGTTTTGTTCTTTTCAGCATATGACTAGAACATTTCATAACTTGGAAGGAAACATAGTTAAAAGGGACTCTGGAATATGGATCAATGGGTTTGACTATACTGGAATGTCTCACATAACACCTCACATTCCTGAGATCAACGATACAATCCGAGCTCACTGTGAGGAGAATGCCCCACTTTGTGGTTTCCCATGGTACCTTCCTGTGCACTTTCTGATCAGGTTGGTTCATTACTTTCCTGCTTAGACTGGGGTTTAGTTTGTCTCAAGTCCTATTACTGAATCAGTACTCTGTAATTTAAACTGTTATGCTTAACTCCCAAGTTAAGTGCTGTTTATACTATTTTTCTATCACTATAAAACTTCTATTTCTTTAGTGGGTTAAAGCATTTTTCTTTGTTCAAATTTAAGAAGTCTTTCTTCAAGAAACATGAGAAGTTAGAAAGGGTGACCTTCCTAACTATATCATAATAGTTAAGCATTAATCAGGTGGTTTTATTTATTTATTTTTGGTGGCACTAGAGTTTGAACTCAGGACCTCACACTTGATAGGCAGGTACTCTTACTGCTTGAGCCACTCTGCCAAGCCCTTAAGTGGTTTTATTTCCAGGAATATTTTATGTTTTGGCAGTGAAGGCTTGGATTGAAGAAATAGGACATATAATGGAATCATCTAGGTAATTTCTTTGTTCTTAAAGTTTGGAGGGTTTTATTACATAGTAACCTGGGTTTCGTTGACATCATTTATTTTATGTCAGGTTTTTCTTCCATATACTTCCATGAGTTATGGATGGTTATTAGCTAATGAGACAACTGAAATATTGACACTACCTTTTCAAATAGGAAGAACTGGTATCTTCCTGCTCCAGAAGTTTCTCTGAGAAATCCTGCTCATTTCAGACTTATAGCCAAAGAACAGACACCATGGGATTCTATAAAGTTGACTTTTGAAGCAACAGGTAAGACAGATAACAGTTTTTTCTTCACTCCTTCACTTCTTAAACTTTTAAATAAATTCCGTGCTTTTTCTTTTTTTTTCAAATATATCAGAGTGACTATGACTAAGGAAGGCCTTACAGTATTTGTTTTTTCTTTTGAGACAGTTTTGCTACAGAGCCCAGGCTGGCCTTGAATTCATAATATTCCAGCCTGACACCTTATATTGTTTCTAAAAGCATTTAAAACTGATTATGATTTCTTAAAATTTAATAGATTTTATTTTTTAGAGCAGTTTAAAGCTTACATAAAAATTGAGTAGAAGTACAGCCTGGTTTTTATAAGGCTTATTAATTTGTTGATTTTTTTCAAGAACCAGCTTTTGACTTTTGAGTCCCTTTTTCCTTGATTTCTGGTAGTTATTTCTTTTCTTCTATTTAATTTTGACTTAATTGCTTTTCTTTTCTAGTATACAAAGATGGAAGCTTAGATTATTGGTATTAGTTCTTTTCTAATCTGTGTTCGATACTATAGACATCTTTCTAAGTTCTGGTTATGCACTGCTCCACAAATCTTAAGTTGTATTTTCATTTTAGTATAGTTTAAAATATTAAAAAAATTTTTGAGTTTTTATTTTGTACTGCTGGGGATGAAATCCAGGGTCTCACACATACCAGGTAAGCCCTACCCAAACCTTTGAAACTCCTTTAAAAAAAAAGAGAAAGCACAGAAGTTTATTTAATGTAAATTTTATATGATAGGGAGCCTTCAAAAATGAAGACCCAAAGAAACAGAGAAAACTGCATTTTTACAGACAGTTATGTAGAAGTATGGTTGTAGGACCAAAGGGTAAGATTTAATGGTAATAAATTAGGGGAAATTTAGCAAGGCCTCTTGTTCAGATTCTTCTTCTCTGTGTCTTCTGAGGCTTCTTTACTAACCCATGTATTATTTAGAAGTGTGTTCTTTAGTCTTCACATAATTCAGAATTTCCCAGCTGTTTTCCTGTATTGATTCTACATTAATCACGTGATCTGAGAACTTGCTTTACATGATTTCTGGTCTAAACTTAAGATACGCTGTATAGTTAGGATGCGGTTCCTTGTGAGCTTGGAAAGACCGTGGTGCTGCTGCTATTGGATGAAGAGTGTGTGACTTAGATCCCATTGACCTACCTCCTACTTATTTTGAGTTTTTGTCTCACGTTTTGATGCTCTGTTCTTAGATTTATGTACGTTAAAGATTGTTGCATCTTCTTTCTTTTGGTTAATGTTAGCATGTGTATCTTTCTGCATCCATTTACTTTCTATTTATATGTCTTCATATTTAAAGTAGATTTTTTTATAAACATATAAGGCTTTTGTTTCTTGATCCAGTCTAAAAATCTGTTAATTGGTGAATTTAGACCTTTGACTCTCAGAGTAATTACCGAAGTCTTGTATTAATGTCTACCATATTTATTGCCCTTGTTCTTTGTACCTATTTTTTGTCTTCCACTCTTTTTCTGCTTTATTTATTTATTATTTTTTAAAGACAAGGTCTTGCTATGTACCTCAGGCTAGAACTTGTGATTCTCCTGTCCTTCCTTGCCTCCTGAGTGAAGGGATTACAGGTGTGCTTCACCACACCCAGGCATTTGTGATTTTAGTGAGCATTTTGATTCTGTTTTCTCTCCTTTCTCAGCTTATCAGTTGTACTTTTTTTTTTTAGTGATTACTCTAGAATTTTCAATGTACACTTACAATTAATCCAAGCCCATTTTCAAGTAACATGTACTTCTTCACAAGTAGTATGAAGTTTTTGTCTTGCCACCTAGCCCCAAACTCACAGCCTTCCTGCCTCAGCCTCTCGAATGCTAGGATTGTAGACACGTGTCATCATGCCTGGCTCAGGTTATGACTTTTAAAGAACCTCATTAAAAATTTTTTAAGTGTCAGTTATTGGTTGATTGTCAGACAGATCCATAATAGCATTTGACTTGGTATTGAGACACTGTGATTTTATTTTTCTTGGTACATACATTTTCTTCCCCTTTCCATGCTTAAAACTTGTAGTTAGTTCTTTCATCTTTTCAACTGGTATTTTGGCCTCTAAGACTTCTCTCTAGGATTTCCTTTATGGTTTACTTGTCAAAAGTAGATTTGATTATGTTACTTCTCTACTTAAAAATCTTCATGAAATTCTGGTGCCTACAGAATAAGCTCAAACCCTGTGGCTGAGCATGTTAGTTTTTGTTGGTACAGCTTTTTTTCAGTACTGACCTTGCTGCACTCCCAGTGATACTATCTTGGTACCATCTTTCACCCTGATTCTATTCTTTGTGAAATCTGATGTCTTCTATGGTTCTGTCCAACAAAGTGTTCAACTGCAGCCCTTCCATATTTTCTTTTTTCTACAAAATTTCATTGTTGTAGCACTTACCACCTTGTGTCATTTAGTCCATGCTTTTGTTTTCCATTAGAATTTGGGGAGGCAGGTGTGGGTGGTTATCATCCCTGTAGGTTTGCATCAGTATGACTGGTACACAATCACTATTCAAGGCTGAATTACTAAATTCGGCAGCTTTTATTCTTTTTAAGCAGCCTACTTGGGCATTTTATCCCAACAGGGAGACATGCTTGAGGAGGAATGTCCAGACAGGACATTTTCTTACTTTGAGAAGCTGTAAGAGTTTGCACACTTACTAGGTGTTTTTTAAAATAAGCAAACCAGGACTATTTCCCTAATGACTTGTCTTTTGGGGAAGTTTTCTTTTACTTTGTTGTCTGTTTTTTTTTAATTTTATTAAACAATATTTATTGCTATCAATTTTCCTCTTACCCCTGTTTTATGTATATCCAAGGTTTAAAAAAATTCTGTTATTTTGTACTTTCTCTTTCACCCTTCTTAAAAATTATTTTACTTTTATGTAGCCCAGGCTGGCCTTGAACTCACAGCCCTCCTGCCTCTACCTCCTGAGTCCCGGGATTATAGGTGTGTACCACCACACCAGCTTACGTACGAATCTTTAATAAAAGACTTTTTACTTTCCATTTGGAACTTAATAACTTTACGTTTTATTATGATCAGTGTTTTACACAACTTTTTAGTATCTCTTACGTGACCTAATGCTTGGTTTTTATGAATGTTTCATGCTCACTTGAGAAGGTATGTTCTGCATTATCACCATAACACATTGACAGATATGTATATATGATCTACTTCTTTGGTCACTTTATTTTGTTCTGTCATTTATTTTTTGTTTAGTTGATGTATCTTCTACTGAGATTGGAATATTGAAGTCTTATTTATGTGTTTCAGTATGCACACAGGCACTGATTAAGATTTTTTAAATTCTATATTGGGTTTATTGTGGTATTAAGTCCATTTTTGACTTAAAATAATTTTGACTCATGATGGGTTTCTTGGGACATAACCCAATTATCAGTATATATCTTGTGTCTTTGTGGCAGTTCTGGGGTTTGAATTTAGGGCCTTGTGCTGGCAAGGCAGGTACCCTCCTACTTGAGCCATCCCCTCAGCCCTTTTTGCTTTAGTTATTATTTCATATAGTAGGGTCTCTTGTTTTGGTTTGGGCTGGGTTCAGAATTCAATCCTCCTACCTATGTCTCCCATGTAGCTGGAGTTATAGTTGTATACCACTAAACCTGACTTGTTGAGATGGGGGTCTTACTTTTTGACCTTGAACTGTGATCCTTCTAATCCCTGCTTTCCTAGTAGCTGGGATTTCAGGCATAAGTCACAGCACATGGCCTAGTGTTTCTTTAATACAGTATATGATTGGGTCTCTTACTTTGTAAGCTAAGTTGAAAATTTTATTTTTCAGTAAATAAATTAGGCCTGTTTACATTTTTGACAGTACTGGGGTTTGAACTCTAGGCCTCTTGCTTGCTGGGCAGGTATTCTACCACTTGAGCCACTCCACTATCTCCTACATTTATTTTTATGACTGATCCATTTGGTTTCAACATCTGTCACAATATTTTATAACTATGTGTTGCCTCATTTGCTATATTCCTATTTCTCTGATATGTATGCATCATCCTTGGTCTTTTAAAATTTATTTTCTGACATTTACAAAGGTATATACTTGATTTAATCCTGTATTATTTGACCTTTTACTGTCTACATGTTTTTTAAATGACAATCTTTTTATTTAAAAAATGTTAGCATATAATAGTTTCACAGGGGGATACATTATGATATTTACGTATGTGCTTACAATGTATCTTAGACTTTGTAACTTCCCTGCTGTTTACCTCATCACTTAGCTTTGTTGATAACACACTGAATATTCAAACTGGTAAACCTCCATTGGATTTGTAGGGAGTACGTTTAAAGTGATGCAAGGCAGGCCATTTATAGTGTGGTTTGGGTGGTGGGTTAATAGCTTTTCTTGTTGATGCTTTTTAAAAGTTTGATGAACTGTTTTTTTGTTTTTGTTATCTTACAGGACCAAGCCATATGTCATTTTATGTGCGGACCCACAAAGGGTCAACACTTTCTCAGTGGTCTCTTGGCAATGGCACCCCAGTCACAAGTAAAGGAGGGGACTACTTTGTATTTTATTCCCATGGACTTCAAGCCTCCCCATGGCAGTTCTGGATAGAAGTGCAGGTGGGAATCTCCCTGGCGGTATTTAGCAAGAACCTTGAGTTTAGTATTCTGTGCTCAAAGAACTAACTGATTTGTTTCTAGCAGGTCTCAGAAGAACAGTCTCAAGGAATGGTCACTGTGGCCATTGCTGCCCACTATTTTTCTGGAGATGACAAGAGATCTTCTTATCTGGATGCTCTGAAGGAGAAGTTCCCAGATTGGACATTTCCCTCTGCCTGGGTGTGCACCTACAGTCTCTTTGTGTTTTAATATTGTGGATGAGTTCTGAGTACATGCCCAGTGGATACTCTATGTGACATGGTTTCTTCTGTGTTACGTGGATGTTTGTACTGTAAGTCAATGAATGTTAACGAGTATATATTCAAAGAGCTTTTGGGGTTAACACTTTTTAGGGCCATGCACTGCATAGGATAAACTGTGGGACAGTGATTCATGGCCTTTTTGACACTTGAAAATGCCAGTTTTCTGGCACTTAAGCACATGTGGGTACTGCCACTACACATGTCATTTTATATGACTTTAAGGGCAAAAGCCAGTAAACCACTTCAGTAGCTGTCCTTCTAGGATCAAGGAAGGTGTAGACTTTCAGACCACTGTTAATGAGCTAAATGTCATTTTCAAGTAAAGCCCCATTGTTGTGTCCATGGGTGGTATGTAGAATACCACTCACTGATTCTCTGGAGATCTAATGCTGTAGATCACTGGAAAGTGACTGCCATAAGGACTGGAAGAAGCATGGACCTTTGAGGCTCTAGGAGCCCTATTTCTTCAGGTAGTCACTAGGGTAAGCTTAGTCTCTGTGCTGAAGCCTGCTCCAAATACAGATCCTTGTACTGACCTGGTGACTCACTGTCCTGACAAGTGGTCACCAACAGCCATTGCTGTGCTGCTTTCTGAGGTGCTTTTCAGTGCCTGTTTTCCTCTAAAATTTATGTGTTCCCCTTTACCAATTTCTAAAGAGGGAACATTTGTTCAGCTACATTTCCCATGTTCTTTTGGTTCCTAAAATTGTGCATGTACAGGCCCTGCTCATCCTTCCTCAGTGTGCTGAGTTGCCAGTGTAGCTATTCTGGGGTAGGAGGACATGGTGGAGGGGTGGTTGGGAATGGTGGGCATTTTATAAATACTCTATTTTGTAGGAATCTTTTGTTATACCAGGTTAATTCTTTAGACATAATTTTACTGATGCACTGGGTTCTTCTGTTTTCTAGCCAGTTGAATAATTTCTAGGTAACTCACTGTCCCATGGAGCTGGCTTTCCTGAGACTTGAGGTTGGGGCTTGTACAGGAATGAGATCACCGTATTGATAGCTGTTAGTGTTCACATCCCATGTAACACCAGTGCTACGCCTTACAGGTGCTTTTTATTTTGAAGATGGGAGTGCAGCTTATGAGGTGTGTCATACAAACACCCTCACATGTTTCAATGCTCCAGTAGCGATAGGATTTGGTGAGCATAATTTAGTGGCAAATTATGCTAAGGTTGCCTTTTTTCCATTAAGAAACGTAAATAATGAACAAATTTTGAGTTAGCAAGCATAGGCCAAAGTTGGGGGAGAAAAAGCCAAAAATCTTCTCAGGTAATGTGGGAAATGTGGGAACAAGAAGGGTGCTTCTTGAAAAAAGTGGCCCTCAGATGTGTCTCCATAGCAAGAGCATAGTAACTGCAGCACAGGAGAAAATGTCCTCGAAAGTGCTACGTGATGTCTGTGATGTGCTTTCTTAGTTATGCTCTTCATATGGCCTAACTGATGACTCTCTAAAAACTAACTGGGCCCATACAGACAGCAGGGTTGCAACCAGAGCTGAATGGTGTTATGCTGGTGTCACCCGCATTAACAATGCACAATGGAGTTGTTTCATGGACTTGGTAGAAATCATATTTTTTCTCAAGTGATTAAAGTGTCTAGCTCTTGCTACATGTATTTGTCAGGTAGTACATAAGGTTTGCAGGGTTTATAAGCTTATACAGATCATCGTTATGGAGGAAAAGTAACAGTAATACTCAATGAATTTCAAAAGACAGGCATAGATTCTTTGTGATTAATCTGAAATGGATTACTAGAAATTACAGAAAAAAGGTAAAACACCTTGTTGAAGACATTGTATGAAAAACAAGTTCTCTGATTTTTGCCTTTGGGAAAGCATCATCTTTAGTAATAATCGTGGTTTTTCTTTTGGCTTTGGGTTTTCTATGCAAACAATCCTCTATTGTTTTGATTTTCTTTAGAATCATGAACTCTGAAATTGTGTAAAGTTAGTAATAAGATGCTTGCTTAGTCTCAGATTATGATTAATAGTCTGGGAGGCTGTTTTAATGTCAGAAATGGTCAAGTAATTACACACAGTACTTACGACTGTTAATAAGCACACTGTCCTATCAGTAAGTGTCTGAAAATAAACCTGTTAGCCCTGTCCTTTTTAAAAGATTACCAGATAATTTACTCATTTCTAAAAGAACTTTTCAGGCTCTAACAAATGCCGTTTCCCTCCTAGAGAATCTAAACGTAAGTAGCACAGTACTGCACATTCAGGGAAAGTGAAAAATGTGATGTCAAAGTAGCTCTTTCTTAGGTTTGACTGAAAAATGATTGTTGCATGAAGTGTTTGTTTCCAGTTTTAGCAGAAGTAATTAAACGCAGTAGGATTACCTAAGATATTATCAGAATGGGGACCACAAGCTAGCCTGCTGACTCAGGAAGCTATAGGAAGAATGACTGTATCTATTTCTTTTCGCTGGTTTGCTGACATGTTGAGGATTAAGTATTGCCTTACACTGTTACTGAAATAAATTTTTCAACATATTCGTTGATTTCTTTTTAATACAGAAACAGATCTTCATACATTATCTCCATATATACATTATCCCTATATTTCAAGGCTATTTCATGTCCACACAGCCTTTTAATTATTTTTAAAAGACTCAGATATTGCTATTTTAATTAGTGATATAAGGAAATCAACATAGAAATGTAATGTTTACTTCAGTTGAAATCTCTTTTTACCTGATGATGTGTACAAATTTCACAGAAATTAAAATGACCTATTATTTAGTATATGTTGAACTTCAGCAGATTTAGGAAGTTTAAATGACCTTGAGAAAGAAAAATTAATAAGGATGTTCTTTTATTGGGGGGCGTGGGTAGAGACAAGAGGGAGAGAAGAAACTGCTTCTTAGCCAGTGATCTGTTTGTTCTAATCTTTATCCAAGGGAAGGGCAGCACCACTCACCAGAACAGAGCCTGTCCTTATGATTCAAAGAGCTCTGCAAACTCTTTAGTTTTCTGAGTAAATTCTCTCAGAATAGTTCAATACAAGGTGAAACAGCTAAAACAACTGTTGATACACTTCCCTCCTTTTAGGCCCAATAAAGCCACGATGTACTTATGCCTCATCATGTCTATCATTAAAAAATACTAATGGAATTTGGGTACATCAATATTTTTGACACTACTGCATTTGATTTGTAAAAATCATTGATAACTTCTTTTATCCAATTTGGTCTTACACCATGATCAAGTAAGATTTGTCCAAGGAATGCAGGTTAGTTTTAACATTCTAAAACCAACCAGTGTAACACACCACCATACCAATGAAGGACAAAAACACACGATACTTCAGGAGATGCATTTTTTTTTCATTTTTCTTTTATTATTCATACGTGCATACAAAGCTTGGTTCATTTCTCCCCCCTGCCCCCACCCCCTCCCTTACCACCCACTCCACCCCCTCCCGCTCCCCCCCCTCAATACCCAGCAGAAACTATTTTGCCCTTATCTCTAATTTTGTTGTAGAGAGAGTATAAGCAATAACAGGAAGGAACAAGGGGTTTTGCTGGTTGAGATAAGGATAGCTATACAGGGCATTGACTCACATTGATTTCCTGTGAGTGTGTGTTACCTTCTAGGTTAATTCTTTTTGATCTAACCTTTTCTCTAGTTCCTGGTCCCCTTTTCCTATTGGCCTCAGTTGCTTTTAAAGTATCTGCTTTAGTTTCTCTGCGTTAAGGGCAACAAATGCTAGCTAGTTTTTTAGGTGTCTTACCTATCCTCATCCCTCCCTTGTGTGCTCTCGCTTTTATCATGTGCTCATAGTCCAATCCCCTTGTTGTGTTTGCCCTTGATCTAATGTCCACATATGAGGGAGAACATACGATTTTTGGTCTTTTGGGCCAGGCTAACCTCACTCAGAATGATGTTCTCCAATTCCATCCATTTACCAGCGAATGATAACATTTCGTTCTTCTTCATGGCTGCATAAAATTCCATTGTGTATAGATACCACATTTTCTTAATCCATTCGTCAGTGTGGGGCATCTTGGCTGTTTCCATAACTTGGCTATTGTGAATAGTGCGCAATAAACATGGATGTGCAGGTGCCTCTGGAGTAACAGTCTTTTGGGTATATCCCCAAGAGTGGTATTGCTGGATCAAATGGTAGATCATGTCAGCTTTTTAAGTAGCCTCCAAATTTTTTTCCAGAGTGGTTGTACTAGTTACATTCCCACCAACAGTGTAAGAGGGTTCCTTTTTCCCCGCATCCTCGCCAACACCTGTTGTTGGTGGTGTTGCTGATGATGGCTATTCTAACAGGGGTGAGGTGGAATCTTAGTGTGGTTTTAATTTGCATTTCCTTTATTGCTAGAGATGGTGAGCATTTTTTCATGTGTTTTCTGGCCATTTGAATTTCTTCTTTTGAGAAAGTTCTGTTTAGTTCACTTGCCCATTTCTTTATTGGTTCATTAGTTTTGGGAGAATTTAGTTTTTTAAGTTCCCTGTATATTCTGGTTATCAGTCCTTTGTCTGATGTATATTGGCAAATATTTTCTCCCACTCTGTGGGTGTTCTCTTCAGTTTAGAGACCATTTCTTTTGATGAACAGAAGCTTTTTAGTTTTATGAGGTCCCATTTATCTATGCTATCTCTTAGTTGCTGTGCTGCTGGGGTTTCATTGAGAAAGTTCTTACCTATACCTACTAACTCCAGAGTATTTCCTACTCTTTCTGTATCAACTTAAGAGTTTGGGGTCTGATATTAAGATCCTTGATCCATTTTGAGTTAATCTTGGTATAGGGTGATATACATGGATCTAGTTTCAGTTTTTTGCAGACTGCTAACCAGTTTTCCCAGCAGTTTTTGTTGAAGAGGCTGCTATTTCTCCATCGTATATTTTTAGCTCCTTTGTCAAAGATAAGTTGCTATAGTTGTGTGGCTTCATATCTGGATCCTCTATTCTGTTCCACTGGTCTTCATGTCTGTTTTTGTGCCAGTACCATGCTGTTTTTATTGTTATTGCTTTGTAATATAGTTTGAAGTCAGGTATTGTGATACCTCCTGCATTGTTCTTTTGACTGAGTATTGCCTTGGCTATTCGTGGCCTCTTGTGTTTCCATATAAATTTAACAGTAGATTTTTCAATCTCTTTAATGAATGTCATTGGAATTTTGATGGGAATTGCATTAAACATGTAGATTACTTTTGGGAGTATCGACATTTTTACTATGTTGATTCTACCAATCCATGAGCATGGGAGATCTCTCCACTTTCTATAGTCTTCCTCAATCTCTTTCTTCAGAAGTGTATAGTTTTCCTTGTAGAGGTCTTTCACATCTTTTGTTAGGTTTACACCTAGGTATTTGATTTTTTTTGAGGCTATTGTAAATGGAATTGTTTTCATACATTCTTTTTCGTTTGCTCATTGTTAGTGTATAGAAATGCTAATGATTTTTCTATGTTGATTTTATATCCTGCTACCTTGCTATAGCTATTGATGATGTCTAGAAGCTTCTGAGTAGAGTTTTTTGGGTCTTTAAGGTATAGGATCATGTCGTCTGCAAATAGGGATATTTTGACAGTTTCTTTACCTATTTGTATTCCTTTTATTCCTTCTTCTTGCCTAATTGCTCTGGCTAGGAATTCCAGTACTATGTTGAATAGGAGTGGAGATAGTGGGCATCCTTGTCTGGTTCCTGATTTTAGAGGGAATGGTTTTAATTTTTCTCCGTTAAGTATAATGCTGGCTGTAGGTTTGTCATATATAGCTTTTATAATGTTGAGGAACTTTCCTTCTATTCCTAGTTTTCTTAGAGCTTTTATCATGAAATGATGTTGGATCTTATCAAAGGCTTTTTCTGCATCTATTGAGATGATCAAGTGGTTTTTGTCTTTGCTTCTGTTAATGTGGTTTATTACGTTTATTGATTTTCGTATGTTGAACCACCCCTGCATCCCTGGGATGAAGCCTACTTGGTCGGTGAATAATCTTTTTGATGTGTTGCTGAATTCGTTTGCCATTATTTTGTTGAGGATTTTTGCATCAATGTTCATTAAGGAGATTGGCCTATAGTTCTCCTTTTTGGAGGTGTCTTTGCCTGGTTTTGGGATAAGTGTAATACTGGCTTCATAAAATGTGTTTGGCAGTTTTCCTTCCCTTTCTATTTCATGGAACAGTTTAAGGAGGGTTGGTATCAGTTCTTCTTTAAAGGTCTGATAGAATTCAGCAGAGAATCCATCAGGTCCTGGACTTTTCTTTTTGGGGAGACTCTTGATTGCTGCTTCAATTTCATTTTGTGTTATAGGTCTATTCAGGTGATTAATTTCCTCTTGGTTCAGTTTTGGATGATCATATGTATCTAGAAATCTGTCCATTTCTTTAGATTTTCAAATTTATTTGAATATAGGTTCTCAAAGTAGTCTCTGATGATTTCCTGGACTTCCATGGTGTTTGTTGTTATCTCCCCTTTTGCATTCCTGATTCTACTAATTTGGGTTTTTTCTCTCCTCATTTTAGTCAGGTTTGCCAGGGTCTATCGATCTTGTTTATTTTTTCAAAGAACCAACTTTTTGTTTCATTAATTCTTTGTATGGTTTTTTTGGTTTCTATTTCTTGATTTCAGCTCTTATTTTTATTATTTCTCTCCTATTTGTTTTGGGATTTGCTTGTTCTTGTTTTTCTAGGAGTTTGAGATGTATCATTAGGTCATTGATTTGGGATCTTTCAGTCTTTTTAATATATGCACTCATGGCTATAAACTTTCCTCTCAGACTGCCTTAGCTGTGTCCCATAGGTTCCGGTAGGTTGTGTTTTCATTTTCATTGACTTCCAGGAACTTTTTAATTTCCTCTTTTATTCATCGATGATCCATTCTTCATTAAGTAATGAGTTATTTAGTTTCCAGCTGTTTGCATGTTTTTTGTCTTTACTTTTGTTGTTGAGTTCTACTTTTACTGCATTGTGGTCAGATAGTATGCATGGTATATTTCTATTTTCTTATATTTGCTGAGGCTTGCTTTGTGCCCTAGGATATGATCTATTTTGGAGAAGGTTCCATGGGCTGCTGAGAAGAATGTATATTGTGTAGAGTTGGATGAAATGTTCTGTAGACATCTACTAGGTCCATTTGATCTATTGCATATTTTAGATCTTGGATTTCTTTATTGATTTTTTGTTTGGATGACCTATCTATTGATGATAATGGGTGTTAAAGTCTCCCACAACCACTGTGTTGGCGTTTATATATGCTTTTAGGTCTTTCAGGGTATGTTTGATGAAATTGGGTGCGTTGACATTGGGTGCGTACAGATTGATGATTATTATTTCCTTTTGGTCTATTTCCCCTTTTATTAGTATGGAATGTCCTTCTTTATCTCGTTTGATCAATGTAGGTTTGAAGTCTACTTTGTCAGAGATAAGTATTGCTACTCCTGCTTGTTTTCGGGGGCCATTGGCTTGGTAAATCTTCTTCCAGCCTTTCATCCTAAGCATATGCTTATTTCTGTCGGTGAGATGAGTCTCCTGTAAGCAACAAATTGTTGGATCTTCTTTTTTAATCCATTTTGTCAAACGGTGTCTTTTGATGGGTGAATTAAGTCCATTAACATTAAGTGTTAGTACTGATAGGTATGTGGTGATTCCTGCCATTTAGTTATCTTAGTTGTTTGAAGGTTTGATTGTGTGTACCTAACTTGATGTTACTCTCTACTGTCTTGCTTTTTCTTATCCTGTGGTTTGGTGCTGCCTGCCTTTTCATGGTTAAGTTGGGTGTCACTTTCTGTGTGCAGGATCCCTTGCAGAATCTTTTGTAATGGTGGCTTTGTGGTCACATATTGTTTTAGTTTCTGCTTATCATGGAAGACTTTTATTGCTCCATCTATTTTGAATGATAGCTTTGCTGGGTAGAGTATCCTGGGGTTGAAGTTATTTTCATTCAGTGCCCGGAAGATCTCACCCCACGCTCTTCTTGCTTTTAATGTTTCTGTTGAGAAGTCTGCTGTGATTTTGATGGGTTTACCTTTGTATGTTACTTGTTTTTTCTCTCTTACAGCCTTCAATATTCTTTCCTTAGTTTCTGAACTTGTTGTTTTAATGATGATATGTCGTGGAGTAGTTCTATTTTGATCTGGTCTGTTTGGTGTCCTGGAGGCCTCTTGCATTGTATGGGAATATCTTTCTCTAGATTTGGGAAATTTTCCTTATTATTTTGTTGAATATATTACGCATTCCCTTCGCTTGCACCTCTTCTCCTTCTTCGATGCCCATGATTCTCAAGTTTGGTCTTTTGATGGAGTCAGTGAGTTCTTGCATTTTCTTTTCACAGGTCTTGAGTTGTTTAATTAATAGTTCTTCAGTTTTTCCTTTAATTACCATTTCATCTTCAAGTTCTGAGATTCTGTCTTCTGTTTGTTCTATTCTGCTGGATTGGCCTTCCGTTTTGTTTTGCAGTTCTGTTTCGTTCTTTTTTCTGAGGTTTTCCATATCCTGGCTGTTTTCTTCTTTATTGTTGTCTATTTTTGTCCTGAGTTCATTTATCCATTTATTCATTGTGTTCTCTCTTTCACTTTGGTGTTTATACAGTGCTTCTATGGTTTCCTTTATTTCTTCTTTTGCTTTTTCAAATTCTCTATTTTTATTGTCTTGGAATTTCTTGAGTGTCTCCTGTACATTTTGGTTGACCCTATCCAGTATCATCTCTATAAAATTCTCATTGAGTACTTGTAGTATGTCTTCTTTTAAATTATTCTTGTGGGCTTCATTGGGTCCTTTGGCATAGTTTATCTTCATTTTGTTGGAGTCTGGATCTGAGTTTCTGTTCTCTTCATTCCCCTCTGGTTCCTGTACTAATTTTTTGCTGTGGGGAAACTGGTTTCCTTGTTTTTTCTGTCTTCCTGTCATTGTCCTTGGTGTTGTTACTGTCCCTGTACTGTGTGTAATTAAGTATTTTCTAGCTTGTAATAATAACAATGGTAATATTGAGAATGGAAGAGTGAGCTGAGATGGAAAGCAAGAAGTTAAAGAAAAGGGGAAAACAAATATACAGACAAGAGGGAGAAAGCAGAACAAGGTATCAGACAGAGAGTTTCAAAGGTATAAACAGGGAGTGTTAGTGTACTAATCGACAGTAAGCTGAACAGACAATAGAGAGACAGAGAGAGGATTGAAAATCAAAGATAAAAAAATAAAAAATAAGTATATGAAAGTAATATCTATTTATAAAAATTAAAATAAAATGGAAAATAGAAAATTAAAAAAAAAAAAAAACAAAAAACCAAAAAACTTCCAAGTTTATATGCAATGCAATTTCAGTCTTAATAATTTGGATGTCCGTCTCAATCTCCAGTCCTGGAGTTGGTGCCTCAGATGTTGTTCTGTAGTTGTCTCATCAAAGGGGATGCATAAAGTAGAACAAAACTACACTCACACACACACACAGAAGAAAAAAAAAAAAAAAGCCCCACCAAGTGTCCCCAGTTCAAATGCAATACAGTTTCAGTAAGTTTTTCGGCTTGCAGGTGTAATTCGGTTGTTCTCTCATCAAAGGTAGGGAGAAAAAGAAAAAAAAGCGTCTGGAGGCAGTTCTGAGAGTGGTATCTGCAACTGTGGCTTGCCTGCCTGCTGCTCTCAGCCTGTAGCTGGCGGCGTTATTTATGCAGATCTCTGGGGTGAGCTAGCACTCACCTGGTCCCACAGGCTTTGTTTGCTCAGAGTTCTCCTGTGCGGGGGGCCTCTGCTACAGGCTTTCCCCTTTCCAAGCACTGGGAAAGGTGACACTGCCCCGCGTTGTCAGGCCTGCGTGTTTATTTACAGTTCACGTGGGAAGTGGGTCTTCCCTCCTCTCACAAGCGTCCCCGCTCCTGGTTGCTGGGCGCGCCCCGCTCCCGCCAGAGCCTCTCCGGCCCGCCCGGCTTGTTTATTTACAGTCCCGGGAAGGATTCCCTTCCCCCAATCTTCAGCGCTCAGGGCGCCCCACCCTCTTTCCAGCGTGTCTTAACTGTTCTTATTGCTTAGTACTCAGTTTCTCTTTTTTCCCGGGTGGAGGTCAGTCTGTCCAGGGGGCTATGCTGCTCTGGCCCAGGCTTGTCTGTGGGGCTACCGCGGTACCGCGAAGCTCACCTGGTCCGCGTCTTCCCAAGCCGTATGGGCGCCGGCCACTGGCGGCCCCGGGGGCCCTCCTCGGTTCTCCGTTTAACGTGAAGTGGAGATTCTCTGCGCCGGCTGGAGATGTGGAGGAGTCAAAGTTATGCCTTTTCTCGGTGATTATGCCTGCAAAGTGTGTCTCCAGCGTCTCTCCAAGATTTCACTATAGGAGGGTCGCTTTCTGCTTCCTACCTCTAGCCGCCATCTTGGAATTCTCTCAGGAGATGCATTTTTGTGTGTGTGTGTTTGGTGGTACTGAAGGTTGAACTCAGGGCATCATGCTTGCTGGGCAGTTGCTCTGCCACTTAAGCCACACCCCCAACCCAGTAGATACAATTTTTAAAAAAACAAAACACAAAATTTGTGATAAAAAACAATTCTCAACAAACTCACAAGGGAACTTCCTCAACCTGGTAAAGGACATTTGTGGAGAACTCACAGTTAACACTGTACTTAATGATGAAAGATTGAAAGCTTTCCCCCTAAGATCAGGAAGAAAACAAGATGTCTATTAAAATAAATTCTATTCACCACCATTCTGGTGACTCTAGCCAGCACAATTTGGCAAGAGAAAAAGACATCCAGATTGGAAAGGAAGAGTTAAAACTATCTCAAGCTGCAAACGATGTGATCTTCTACATAGGAAATTCTAAGGAATCCATGGGGGTGGGGGGGGACCCTTAATAAGTGAATTCTGCAGGTTGCAAAATCTAGTATCAATATACAGAAAACAAATGTATTTCTATACACAAAAAAATCCAGAAATGAAATTAAGAATTCCATTTACAAGAGCAGCAAGAATAATAAAAACACTTAGGAATAAGTATCAAAAGCGTAAGACTTTTACACTAAGAACAAAATATTGCTAGAAAAGATTTAAAGTGGAAAGACATGTTCTTGGATTGGGAAGCTTAATATTAAGCAGGGCAATCTGATTATTTGATTACAGCCTCTATCAAAGTCTCAGCTTTTTCTTTTTGAGTGCAGAAACTAGTAAGTTGATCCTAAAGAATAGCCAAAACAACCTTGAAAAAACAGGATTTACACCTCCAAAATTCCCTACAAAGCAAGAGTGGTAAGACAGTGTGTTACTGGAAGGAGGATAAACATACAGATTACTGTAATTGAGACTCAAGAAATAAACCCATACAATTATAGTCCATTTTGACAATTTAATGGGAAAAATCTTTTAAAGAAATGGTATTGAACTGAATATCCACATGCAAAAGATGAAGTTAGATCTGTACTTCATGTCATATATAAAAATTAAAATAGATCAGAGACCTAAATGTAACAGCTAAAAGTATAAAATTCTTAGAGAAAACATAGGCATAAGTATTGATCACCTTGGATTTGGCAATGGTTTCCTAGCTATGACACCAAAAGCACAAGTAACCAAAGAAAAAATAAATTGGACTTCATCAAAAACAAGAACTTGTTTTTAGAAAGAAAGGGAAACAACAGAATGATAAAAATGCCTGCAAATCATATACTTGGTAAGGGCTTAGTATTTAGAATATATATGAATTCTTTGGAAACCAATGATAAAAAGATAAATGACCTTTTCATTTGTTTTTCAAAGATGTACAACTGTCTAATAATCAAGTAAAATAGCCATTAGGTAAATTAAAATGTAAACTATACTGACATGCCCATTCCCTATACAACTTGGATGGCTTTGACCAAAAAGACAGATAAAGTGTTTGTTAGTAACCGAGACTGGGACCATCACTATTAGTGGTAATGTTAGTAGTGCAGGCACACTGAAATACACTTTGGTACTTTCTCAAAAAATTAACTATTTACCATATAACCCAGCAGTTCCACTCCTAAATTGAAAACACATGTGCACCCAGAAATGTACACAATAGTTTTCCTGCCTTAGCCATAGGGATATGTTCCAAGATCCCCAGTGGATTTCTGAACTGTGGACAGCAAATCTATTTATACTGTTTCTTTTATATACATATATACCCATGATAAAGTTTAATATACAAAGGCACAGTAAAAGATTAATAATGAGTCATTTAAAATTTAGAAATTATTTCTATAATTTTTCACTTAGTATTTTTGGACCGTGGTTGACTGTGGGTAACTGAAACCTTATTAAGGTGAAACTGTGGGAAAGGGGAATTACTGTAAATACTAGCTTAAAGTGGAAAAAACCCCAAACATTCAACTCCTAACTGGATAAACAAAATATTATTCAACTTTAAAAAGGGAGCAAAGTAGTGATATACAAGGATGAATCTTGAAAACATCATGCCAAGTAAAAAGCCAGACATATGATTCTGTTTATGAAATATCTAAAATAGGCAAATGCATACAAGGAACAGATTTAATTTAGGAATACAGGAAAATTGGAAACAGTCAAAATAATTTTTAAGTCCACCTATTCATAATGATGCCTAGTCTCCTAGACAAATTTTTGTTTGCTTGGTAGGTCATGTGGTAAATCTGCTTTTCTGTCATTTCTTCATTCTATTTTAAACATTCTTCATGCTGTGGAGGGGTCTTGATGCTCCCATATCTACATATAAGTATTTTAAGTAAAAATGTCTAAATTTCTAGCTATTTCATAGGGAAAACTCTTAAGAAATGGAATTATAAAATGAAAAGAATATTTTTGTGGCTTTTAATATACATACATTTTGCTGTTAAACCTGAAATGATGAATAAACAAAGTCTATGCAACGGTTTTATTGCCCTTTACCGAGTAAAAAAATAAATACACATTACAGAAGTAGAAGCAACTTTAATTACAAGTGAAGGCTGACTGTACCCCCAAATGACTTCTTGTTTTGGTATCAGTAAATAATTTAAATAATTTAATAACCTTCAAATGTAGTTCCAGTAAATAATTTAAATTATTTAATAATCTTCAAATGTAGTTGTAGTGAATATTTAAATTCATTGGTTAAACTATGGCTCATATATATGTAGTTGAACCAAATACAACAAAATGAGTTTTTAAAAACTGAAGCATAACGAACTACCGAATAGAAATTTTTGGTAAACTTGCCAAATTTCTTGCTTTGGTGCTTTCTATTTCTATTAGTGGAAAAACATTTTATGAAAGAAAAGATTCCTTCATGGAATGTTAAATAATTGGTGATCTGCTCTCAAGAATGTGAAATCGCTGCAGTGGGAGTGGGTGGGTAGTTCATACTTGTAATCCCAGTTATTCAGAGGACAGGCTGTAAAGGCAGAAGGATTCAAATTCAAGGCCAGCACAGGCAACTCAGACATTGTCTTACAAAAACAGGAATGTACTCGGTGTTAGAGCTTGACTAGCATGCGAGAGGCCTACGATCAATGCTACCAAAAAAAGGTGTGAAATAAACTTAGCAGCACAGTGTTTTATTTAGAGTATGTGAAAAGATCACAGCTGCTTATAATGGTAAATCATTTTTATTGACTATTCACACTAGAAATTGACTAAATACAATAGTATTGCTGGTTCTTCTTCCTAATAGTATAGGACAAATGGAATTTTCAGTTTAGATTTCTGCTACACCGCATGTACTCAAATGAGAAATATTATTTTCTGTCTGAAGATTCAGAGAAAGGTGGTTCGAAACAAAGACTTAAATAAAAGTAGCACCAGAAGGACCAGGTACCAAGTCACATATTCTACCCATTCAGAAGTTTTATTATGTGAAATTATTGCACTTCTAATGTAAAAAGTAAATTCCCAAATTCAATAATTTTAAATAGCTGGTGAACTTGGAAATAAGCAATTTTAAAATGATTGCATTTCACTTTAAAGGAAATCTGGCTAAAACAACTAAATCTAGCTATTTAAAAATCAAGGATAGAGGAGGACCAAGTTTTATTTCTAAGAGAGGCTGTTTTACATAGTGGTACAAATTTGGTCCACATCATATACATTGTTATAAAAATAAACAAGTTTTTATAAAAAATAACATTGCATTCCTTGTCAAATTGCACAGTATAAACAAGCTCTCTAAATTAATACTGTTTTTAGGTAATTAGAATTACATACAGTGGATATGTGTTTAGTCTGAAGCAATTAAAGAGTTTGTAGTTCTATTTTCATAAGGTATGGAAACTAAAATTTAAGCCATCTAGAAATACATAAAATATTTTTAAAGTTTACAATGAAGAATGCATTCTTTATACAGTAATTTCTAGTAGCCATGATAATACAGCAGACTATTTACATAAAAGTCCATTTTTATTCAATTTACAAAAGCAATAAATAAGAAACTACATTAATTTGCACAAAACCTGTTCCACCTCATGATCAGTGGGATCACTTCTGTTATTTGAACAATTCAGCCAATAAACCTGTATTCCTTTATGAAGACTGCTCATTTTTGGAGAGAAGAGCAAGCCCTGTCTTAATTCTAAGAGTATCTATAGTCATGCAGAATCCAGCATAAAACCTTACAAATTATAATACAAGCCTTAAAAATATGAACAGTGCCTTTGAGTATATTTACACAAGAGTACTCACAAAAAGATACAGTTCTTTGATACAAAATAGTTTAGTGGTGTCAGCATAATTGCTAAGAACCTCTCACACTTCTGCCCGCAGTTGATTTAGTAGGACTCAAGCTTGCTGAGACAGGCACATCAACTCACAGATAAATAACTTACATCGGTTCACGAGCGGGCTGTACAGGGCTAATAAAGCCAAAGAGAATGTCTCCACCCCACAGCTACAAGACTGTGCAAGGGCGGCATCTATTCAGAAGGACTAATTAGGGAGTCCAGCAGGCTCTATCCAAGGAAGCAAACAGGTAGCCTGTGTACCTGATGAGCTCAAGCAAGCACCTTAGCTTTTCTTTTGAAAAAAGCAGTCTAGACACAACTGACCCAGAAAACACGTAAGAAGCTAGAAATATGAAAAAGTAACCTCTCCTGGGGCAAAATAATCCCTATGGTTTACAAGCTACAAATCTTTCAATAAAACCAAAATATTCTCATGTACACCTGTATAATATTCTTTATTACTTTCTATTGTAGCTTAAAAATTTATGAAAGATGCTTTATTTGATATCACATTTTTATGAAGTCAAAGGGATTTCTTAGAGAAAGTTCATTGAAACCTAATAATACTTTACCCAAGAAGTTTCTGGGCTAAGTTCTTTCCCCTGTTAAATCATTCAACTAGGTCACAGTGTACTCAGTTGCACGCTGCTGCTAATTAATACTGCCTGTCATAATGTTACTCACTGTTGTTAAGACACAGAACAGTCATAAGTCCCATCCTGAAATGTCTCCTCTTCCTCTCCATGGGTTATGTCCTCTTCTTTTCGGCTGATCATACTGCTACTACTGGCCTCATTTTGGGGGATGCTTCCATGGCTGGAGGAGCCCCTGCTGTCCTCTGCCCTGGGGCTGGTCTGCTCAGGAGTCTTACCCACTGCTGTTGGCTGGAAGGCATCAGGCTGGACCTGCTCTTCTGTTATCTCACTGAGCTTCTGCAGTTGTGGCTTAATGATGTTTAAAAATGGCTTATATCCAGGACTGAGTAGAGGGAAAAAAATTAGTTCTCATCTGCCTAATTCAAAAGACTTGGTAGAACATTATAAATAAACTATTAAACATTGATGCAGTAAGGAAATGATAGGTTATGAAGGGAAGGAAAGCTTCTTGGGTGCCTTGCCCTGCACAGAGCTACACATAGTACAGGCTAAGTTTTAAATTTCTGAGCAGTAGGACTGACATTTTTTTTTAATTTCCTTTATTCATATAGGACTGACATTTTAAAATCAGTATTACAATTAAAAATGTTTTATAGCTGAAGAACCAGTAAGATTTCAGACTCAAAAAAGTACCCCTCAGAAAGCACCTAACTTAAATGTATTTGGCAATTAAAGAAAACTAGATTCAAGTAGAGTTAAAGAGCCCCAAATCCACACATAATTGGTGACAAAGACAGGAGTGGAGTCCAAGGCTCTGAACTCCCATGCACTACTCTTTCTAGTAACTGCCATGGAATGTTAAATTCAGACTGTAACTTTTTGTCTTTTCTTCTTTTCTTGGGAGAGAAGGCCTCACTAGGTAGTCCAGGCTGTTCCTGAATTTGTAATCCTCCTGCTTCAGCCTCCTGAGTGCTAGGATTACAGATGTGCACCACTACTCCAAGAACTTTTTGTCTTTTCAATTCCACAGAACTGCAACTCGTAAATTCCAGTCTAATTCTAAGATTATTTCTACTGCATCAATCTCAAGTCAGTAATATGCATCCACATTATAAACTAACACTAAACTTTACTTGGTGGACATTGCCATTCAAATGGTTGGGTATAGAATGATTAACAAAGAAAGTATTCTTAAAAATGAAGATACAAAAGCATTTTGATTTCTACTAAAAAATATCCAAACTAAATGAACTATAATTAGGCCTTAATATGAAAGGACAGGAGGACAACAAAGAATAACAAGTCTTTGGAAATCAGAACTTACCAGTCTGTAGAGGCCCATCGGTCCACCGCATGCAGCCCTGTCTTTATGTTCTGCAACATCTCTCCATCCACCTCTGAAGACTGGGCAACAACCAAAACCTGACTGATTATTGAAGATTCTCTAAGAATCAGGCCAATGACAACACACCAATCCAGACATCCTGCCTCCATGAAAATGTGTAGCAAATACCTATGTATAATGCAGAGACAAAATGTCTTAAATGAAAAGGGATTTGCAGATGTAGAGACAGGCAACAGTTATTATAGGAAAGTTGCTCCTGCACCCCAGGTATTGCACAAATACCCTGAGTAGGCTTTCTATGCTTTTAAAAAGCTGAAAAACTCACCGAAGCTGGACTTGGGATTTGTGAGGCCCTTTACTCGCCAACTCCATGGAGATATGCTCAAGCTCTGACTGAGTCAAACTGAGTGTGGAGAAATTTTCATCTACCATTGTCCAGTCCCCATCCACCATCGAGCTACTTTCAGTCAAGTCTGTGGCTGAACCAATGCTGCATTCATCACCTAATGAATAATTTCCAAAAGTTATAAGCCAGCTTCATATAGTAAATACATTTTCCTGTAATTTTTAACATTAGCTGTTTCTCAGATGTTGATTTCTCAGGATTTTGAAACCAAAACATTAAACCTATGCTGAAATGGCCATGAGATATGAACAAAAGAGTGATAAAGACATTATTTGTATTTGATGAAGAAACTTACTAATTTTACATGTATTTTATAATTATAAAGTTATGGCAGTTACAAGCCTCCCCACATGGCAGAAGCTCAAGTAACAGTGATGACAGATTGATAATCAAACATTATATGAGTGCCTGGCTAATTAAAAAACCTACAAAAAGATCAAATTATTGTTTGTACCAGTAAATTGCTTATAAAAGCAGTTTATTGTATATTTTATGCCAACCTGAATTGTTTCAAAACCTCTTCTGTTTGTAATTTACCCATTACTATAGAGTAGAGTTGGTGTACATTTTTGCAAGTGGACAGAGAGTATTTTAGGGTTTCAAGGCCAAGAGGCAAAAATCAAGGATATTATGTAGAAACTTGAGAAAAGCAAATTTCCACAAAATTGTATTGATGAGATAAAAAATAATGCAGTACAATTTCTATGACATAGATCTACTTGTAAGAATGGGATTCTTAACATGGGGATAACATTGTTTTATTATTTGCGATTCAAAGATAATGTTTCCTTATCATCAAGGTTGACTGCAAAGCTTTATGCTGATCAGTACTGAGACTTTTATGTATTTCATTTACTTGAAATAAATATGGCAAAGCATAGTTGAGGCCAATTTGCCCCTGTTCCAGTAACTGTCCACCTCTCTAGCAGATCCTAATGGCTAATCCTTCAGGACGAAAGAGTAAAGCGCTTATCTCTGAAATGCTAAACTTTTATCCAAAGAAACTGAAGAGACAGAACTTAAAATGACATTTACCTTTATTAGATAATGGAGACAAGAAAGCATCCTGCATTTGTGGTCCATGAGATGAGGCTGTGTCTATCTCCTGATGGGTGGGGCCTATGTTGCTGAACCAGCTCTGACTTCGTTGGATATTAGAGATGCCAGCATCCATCTCAAGGTTGATGAAAGGGTCAGCTGATTGAGACTTTAACAGCTGCTCGCCTACTGCAAGGTAGGCCCAAAAACAAAAAATGGGGAGAGAAATTCAAGTTGTACCTACTACCATTTTCAATTTAGTTCTTTTACCTTCCCTCATCTGCCTACCCAATACTGGCAGTTCAAATCCAGCTGCCACACTATACTGATCATTCATTCAAAATCTAGGATTATGGAGATATACTAACTAAAAAAGACTGACCATATATTGCCATTCAAGAATCATATCATGGTATCTCTTACTGGAACTAAACAAGACTTTACTGTTTATCTTCTAAGTGATTTGCCTCACTTCTTAAGATGACACAAAGTTTGAAAACACCATAAAAAGTTGTCTTCATAACTTTCAGTCTTTATAAAAGATCTGAACAGAAAAACTATCCTTTAATACTTCTTTCATTTAAATACACAGTTTCACTTTGTCCTGTCCCAAGTTTAGAAGATGGCCCAAGTTGTCAAAGATGCATTTTTATTATTTTCTTGGAATGAATTCTTGTTAGGTAAACCACAATTTAACTCATTTTGATTAACTTACTCCAAAATTCCTTCCCATAATAAGGTAGACATAATAGCTTTTATATTTAGCAAGTTCTCAACTTGTTTACAGTGTTAACAATAGTTAGATTTACGAATATGACCTAAAGGTCAAAAGACTTAGAGATAGGGTTTCTACTGTATTTATGTCCTTTAGTCAAATGGTGGCTATTCCAACTGATGTACAAGAAGTTTGCTTTTATTTGTTTGAGTTGGTAATGAAAAGACTTCCTTGAATGTCAGCTAATAGTAAAATCTACATACATGGAGTAAAATACAATCCTTCTTACAAAAATGACAAAAAGCCTATATTACCTGTTCGGTATTTTCCATTTTTAAAAGGAGAACTAATAGAAGAGGCTGGGATAATGGGAAGTGGCCACAGGAAATCTTTGTGGAGTCTCTTCAGGGCTATCACAAAGTTATCTACTCGGGCGGCTCGGGTACGTTCCTTGCATAGCCAACTAATTAGTTCAAAGCCCAGCTGGGCTGCAAAGCAGCCTAGGTCCTTTAACCGCACATCTTCTAAAAGGCGCCGGGCATGTCTCCAAAGCATCATGTCAATATACATGTTCTCAGCACAATCACTGTCTTTGCTCCATCTGTAAGTGGAAACAAAAAAGCCACAGAATAATCTTTACTATAGGACTTTATGTACTTTTTAATGCAACAGCGCTGATCAAACTGAAAAAGTAACAGATCTATCTACTTCTGACTAAAATGGAAGAAAAAACTTTACAGCCTCATGTCCCTTGACCTGGGAGCACAGAAGCTCCTCAGACTCATTTGTAGAATGAATACATGGAATAGGAATAAATAGGAAACAAAAGAAGCCAGATCAGGAAGAGGGTAGTGATGTTGAAGGAAAGAGGAATAAAACAAGTGCTGTATTTAGAAAAACTAATGAAAAGAGGAAAGGAGATCAAAGAAACTAAAATGAAATACAAACTGAAATTGAATCTCTCAACATTAGTTATGTAGACATACAAAAATAAAACTGATTTAAAAAAAATGGCAATTAAACATAGTCTGTTACTTTTATTGGTAGAAACTAATGGGGGTGTAACTGGTTTGGTAATCAGGTGCCCTCAACGAGAAGCAGTATAATGGATAAGTATAGAGCACCTCTAATCCCAGCTACTCCGGAGGCACAAATTGGGAGGACTGTGGTTCAAGGCCAGTCTGGGCAAAAAGTCAGTGAGACTTCCCTCTCAACCAACGAGTTGAGAGGTGTGGTGGTGCGTAACCCTAGCTGTGCTGGAGGCATAGGGAGGAGGATAGTGGTCTGAGGCCAGCCCACCTGACAAAAGTGAGACCCTAATGGAAAATAACTAAAAGTGAAAGGGCTGGCTCAAGTGGTAGAGTGTAGTAAACCTGAAGAATACTTATGTGGATGGACTTATGAGGGAGGAAAAAGGGAAGCCTTTTATCGGGTCTCTATGCCTTTTTAGGAATGAAAAAAGGATTTACAACTGGATTAAATAGTTGTTTCCAAAACACTTAATTTTATCAATTCCTTGAAATACAATGATTCCCTCGAAAGCAGTAACAACTCTTTATTCTTTTACCTTTTTCCAGAAGGACCAGATGGCATACTTAGTGTTTTCTGTAAGCTGAATTTACTAGGAGGAACATTTTCAGCTGACTGGGATAAACTGATGCTTCGATTTCTGAAGAACTCAAATCCACCACTTGAACTGGGTTCCTGTAAAGACAAAATGCAGTTCAGTTAGAGAAATATGCCTTGTAGGTATATAGCCTAAAGAAGCTATATAGTTTTGCAACTAACCTGAGCTGTAGGAGTGGATGGAGGTGTTTCGGATTCTCCAGAGCCAATGGCTTTAAGAAATCGAATCATATGTCGACATAGGTCCCACTTGCCTTGTTCCAGTGCTGTGTTGAACAGAAGAGTGGCATGCTGCCTACTTACTGCTGGGACTTCCATGTTCTATGACAACAACCAAGAAAGACAACATTTCTTTTATACTACATGATTTGAGAAGATATGACCAATTCTTTTCTCCCTACTTCCCTAAATCCAAGGAATGTAGCTACAATACTGTATGGGTTCGTTTAATATTAAGATTAAAAGGAACATTAAAACCACCATACCAGGTAAAACAAAGTACTCTACTGATATAAACAATGATTTATTGAACTCCCATTATATATCAGATACCTTACATATATTATTCCATTAGTTTCTTTCAGTGACTGTAAAATAATTTTATCATTCCTGTTTTACAGATGAGGAAACTGAGTTATGTAAATTGCTGAGGATCAGCAGAAAAGAAAGAGTATAAATCTTTTAGGCGTAAGGCAAAAACTGATGCCTAAAAGTTCAGGTCTGTCTCCCATAATGCTGCTATATATTCAGTATACTTAATACTTCTTTTACAAATCTGACCTTTCTGCTGTGTGTGCTTTCATGGAAAGGTACCTGACCAAGTTTAATTATAATTATTATGCCAGTCTATAGCAGCTTAGGAATTCTGCTGTAGAAAAAGTTTCCAATTCCACTGCTAGAGAGATGACTCAAAGTTAAGGAGTGATCCACAACAAGAAGCAGCTGCAGGCCTGGTGGAGTGGCTCAAGTGGTAGAGTACCTGTGAAGCACTTGTGAAGCCCTGAGTTCAGATCCCAGTACCACAAAAAACAAAACAAAAGCACCTGCATTTACTTTCTGTTTTTATTATTCTGCTTTTTTTCTTTAGGGCTAGCCAAGAAATCAAAGAATTTCAGAGCTATTGTCCTCTGCTTGAGTATCTCCTTTACTTGCCTTTGCTTTCAGTCAGTTATTATGAAGCAAATAAGCTGACAGGAAATCTGTTTGAGGCTGAGATTCAAAGTAGTTTTATGGTTAGCTTCTTATATCAATTAAAACAACTTTGCAGTAATTTGAAAGAATCTTTAAGTGTAGCTTCTCAAATCCCTATCAGACTTATGGGAGTAAGAAACTATCAAGTCCAAACAAATTTTCAGGACTCTTAAAGTATCCATTAGTTTGAGAAAAATAACATGCTATTACTTTGTCAGGCAAGCCTGAGTCTTCTCAGCTTGCTATTTGGAGCCTAATGTAAGTTGCTGTGTCATGACCTAGATTTAATCAGAATTCTCTCAGCAGTTCTTATAAAGAAACAAGTATTATTGTGGAGAGCTCAGACAAACGTACTAATAACCAAAATAACACTTTCTTCATTATTAATGTTTCTTACATAGTTTATAGTAATCCAATCCAGTATTTCTTGTATAATATGTATGTTGTATATATATTACATAATAAAAAATTTCTTCAGTATTATTTAAATAATACTCTGAACTCATTAATCTGTTTTAGGCCTATGTATGGACAAACCAGGATAAAATATCCCATAATACTACTTTGTAATTTTAAAGAAATATGAAATCATTTGATAAAACCAAGTTCTTAAAAATGAAAGAAACTAAAGAGAAAATGTGACTATTAATTCCTTAAACACAGCACTGTGCTAACACAGGAAATTTCTCTTTTTCTATCTTGTCCTTTTATAATAAGAGAATTGTTACCTGTAAGATAATAAGGTAAGAGGCAGCTGTGTCCAAATCCTGAGCCATCAAACATTCTTCAAACAAGTCCTTGGGGTTTCCAACAGCTGCAAAAAGGTAATTCCACAGGGCATATTCAGTCTTCCTGGCACAGTGCACAACTGTTTGGAGGAAGAGGGGGAACTCGGTAATAAATTTTGCCACAGTGGGAAGCAGTGGGTCGGGAATGGGCTCCCGTGAGGTAGCTTCTTCTTCTAGCACTTCATGGAGCATGAGCTCTAGCACATGAGGGAAGTAAGGTAATGCAGCACAAGACTGAGCCAAGAGCAAGGCTTGCTCCCCAAGGTTTCTGACCAGAAGTTGACGTAAAATGTGGTGGAGGTAGATCTGGGAGGTTCTCTCCACAACACAGAAAGGGAAGAGCACTTCCAGCTGCTCTCTAGCACTGTTCCGAGTATACAAAGAATCATACAGTAAAGTGTCATTAACAGCACCAAGGACTAACGCATCTTCAAACAGAACCGCCAGGGGGTAAATGTTGATATGAAAAGGCAACATGATCCGCTGGGACAAGAAGGAATGGGGCTTGCGATGATCCCTAGGGAAGAGCGGGAGCCAAACCTTCATCCCTGCACCCCCACAGCTGAGCCAGAGGGCCTCCAGAAGGTGGCGTTTTTGTTTATTTGCACGAAATGTTGTCCAGACATTTTCAACAGACTGGGCTAGTACAACAGGAGGGCAGAATGGCACCTGGAGAAGATGACACAAGAATTGTTTTGTTTTTCCCTATTAAATGTGTAGTTCTTAAGTTCCTAGGTACTAGTTTATTAGACCTTTTAAAATGACAGTACAACAATCTTTGGGAAAGGTAGGGATATCTATTGAGATTAGGGATAATCTATCCTGTCTTTCAAAATATATATATATATTGAAATCTAAAAACAAAACAAAACTCCAAGTGAACTTCACCAATCTATCCTTATTTTCCTATTAGAATTTGCAACTAATAATGTCTAAGAAGCAACATTTGGAGCATGGGGCATTATCATTTTGAGAACTTTATCCTTCACTCTTCATAAATAGTCTTAAACCCAGAGTCTTAAAATGAATTCTATATACTTCTCAGTTTTTGGATCACAAGCTACTAGTTTCCTCCTAAATTCTTTTATTCCTTCTTCATTGTATACCTTCTTAATATTTGAAATGACTTGTACTTTACTCACAAGTTTCCTTTGGTTAGGGTTGTTGTCCTTCTCCCGAATCTGAGGGCCTGACCTGTCCCTCTGCATCATGATGAGCTGTCCTGCAAGGTTCAGCATTATGCTTTCTGCATCACGAACCTGAAATTTCAAAAACACAAATGATTCACACTAATTTATATGTTTTTGACACCCCCTCATCCCCTCAAAAGGTCTAGAGATTAAACAACCAACAATACTTATTGAGACTGTACTGTGCATAGCCATTTTGCCAGGCTCTGTGAGAATACAAACAGCTTTCTGGCTATGGTGGAACAAGGTGCAATATGGTGAAACCAGTGAACAATAGATAAGATTAAAGTGAGGGAAGAGCTGAATTATCCTGGAAAAACTAAGAGAACAACAAAAGTTCATAAAAAAATGAGAGATCATGTCAATGATCTTGCTGGTATCACTAGAGAAGTTTTAAAGGATGAGGGGGGACTTGAAAGATTAAGAAATCATACATGGATGGAAGGGTTGGTACTCTAGTCAAGGCAGGCAATGTAAATAAAGACATGGAGAAAAAACAGTTCTATTGGAAAAGAGAATATGGCTAGATGGGATATTAAGAAAATAAAGGGAGGATCAAGATGGTGACTAGGGTGCAGAAGCAGACAACATGAGCTCCACAAATCAAAAATCTTGTTGAGATGCTGGAGCCACACTTGGTGGAAATAAAGCACCAAGAAGAATCAAAACTTCGGACACCCTGAACCCCCAGCCATACAAACCTTCTCCAAGCCACGTTACACTGAGAAAACTGGAGGGTTCCCGCACTGTGAGATGCTAGCTCCAAAGCTGCTTGGGAGAAATTTGGCATACCAAACAGGTGAGCACCAAGTGTCATGTGGTATTCGCCCAGCCACTCCTGGGATAAACCAGCATAGCCCCCTGCCCACCCTCAAAAACAAAAAAATTGAACAATAAACAAGGAACTGAAAACTAACACAGAGCAGAGGAGCAGAGTTGCTAGAAGCCCACCGGAGAAGGGGGGAAGGCAAGAAGCTGATCTCCATGCAAACTTTCAGTAAACAAAGGCTGGAAAGGCAGAAGGGATAACAGCAGGCCAGTGATAAGCCACTGCCTGAAATAGGGCAGCTAGCAGTCCACAAAGCTCATCTCCTGAGCCAGTGAGCAACATCCAAACTCAAACGACAATGCAAAATTGAAAAACAATCAGCAAACCATCACAATATGCTGACAGTAGGGGGCCAGCTGACAGATCAGAGAAAAGGGGCAAGACAAAGAAACAAGCTCCCAGTAATCAAGCACAGTGAAAACCTAACTCCAAAGCAGGATGGCTGGTGGGCTACAGAGCTGATCTCCAGAATCTAAGGATAGCATACAAATTTAAACTGCCACACCTAACTGAGGGAGGAGCTAAGAGCTGCCACTGAAAGACAGAAAAAACTGGCGAGACTCCCCAACCACCTGGCCAGAATTAAGACAGAGCTTCTGCTTCAATACCAACACCAGGACTAGATGCCGAAGGAGTAACACCAGAACTGATAAGACTGAAATTCTATTGTTCCTGAACCTAGAGGGTTTTTGTGTGTTTGTTTGTCTTGTTTCTTGTTTATTCATCTCTCCCTGTTGATTTCTTTGGTTTTGTTGTTGTTGTTATTCTTGTTTTCTTTTGTTAGTTTTACTATTGTGAGTTAGTTAATACTAAATTACACTAAGACCAGGGACAAAAACAGCATGCATGCACTAAGCTAAAAATCCAATACACCCACAAAAAAAAATTAAACCAAAGGAAAGAAAACAGTTGACTGAAACCATCAATAGCCTATCAAGAACATAGTTACACAGTACCAAGCACAGCCCTGGGAAGATGAAAAAGGGATGGAAACCATTCTCCCCCCAAAAATAAATTAATACAGAATTCAGAGGGAAAAGAAGAAAACGGATATCCAGTTCCAGACTCCAACCAAACAAAGATAAATGACACCAAGCAACCCAACAATGCCCACAAGAACACTCTCACAGAAGAAATCCTACAAGTAGTCACTGAGAATTTCATGGAGATGTTAGAAGACGGTCAACCAAAACGTACAAGAGGCACTCAAGAAATTCCAAGAATAAAAGAATATGAGAACACACAGAAACAAATAAATGAACTCATAGGAATCCTAAATAAACACCAAAGTGAAACAGAGAATACTATAGAGAGATAAATGAATAAAGGACAAAAATTGACAATATTAAAGAGGAAGTAAAACATTATATGGAAAACCTCAGAAAAAAGAATGAAACAGAAATACAAAACACAGTGGAACTCCAACAGACTAGAACAAGCAGAAGTCAGAATCTCAGAACTTGAAATGGAAATTAAAGGAAAAACTGAGGAGCTATTAGTCAAACAACTCAAGACCTGTGAAAGGAATATGTAAGAACTCACCAACTCCATGAAAAGAGCAAACCTGAGAATCATAGGCAACTGAAGAAGAAGAGGTGCAAACAAAAGGGATTCGTAATATATGCAGCAAAATAGTAACAGAAAATTTCCCAAATCTAGAGAAAGCTACGCCTACAGGACACCAAACAGACTTGACCAAAATAGAACTACCGCATGACATATTCTCATTAAAACAACAAGCACACAGAATAGAGAAAGAATATTGAAGGCTGTAAGAGGAAAAAATAAATAACATACAAAGGTAAGCCCATCAAAAACCACAGCAGAGTTCTCAATGGAAACCTTAAAATCAAGAAGGGCATGGAGTGAGGTATTCCAGGCACTGAATGAAAATAACTTCAACCCTAGGATACTCTACCCAGCTATCATTCAAAATAGATGGAGCAATAAAAGTCTTCCATGATAAGCAGAAACTAAAACAATATATAACCACCAAGCCACCACTACAAAAGATTCATCAAGGAATTCTGCAAACAGAAAGCAAACAAAACCATGAGAGGACTCTAACACCAAACCACAGGAGAAGAAAAGACAAGGAATCAGAGAGTAACAGTAATTCAGCTGCACACAATCAAACCCTTAAACAACAAAAACAACTATCGCAGGAATCACCACATACCTATCAATATTAACACTGAGTGTTAGCAGACTTAACTCCACACCCCATCAAAAGACACCATCTGGCAAACTGGATTACAAAGGAAGATCCAACGATCTGTTGTTTACAGGAAATCCACCTCATTGACAGAAACAAGCACTGGATTAGGGTGAAAGGCTAGAAGGTGATTTACTAAGCCAATGGCCCCTGAAAACAGACAGGAGTAGCAATACTTATCTCGGACAAAGTAGACTTCAAACTTACATTGACCAAATGAGATAAAGGACACTCCATACTAACAAAAGGTGAAAAAGACCAAAAGGAGTAACAATTATCAACCTATATGCACCCAATGTCAGTGCACCCAATTTCATCAAACATACTCTGCAGGACCTGAAAACATAACAGACTCCAACACAGTGGTAGAAGTAGGAGACTTTAATACCACCCTATCACCAATACATAGGTCATCCAAAAAAATAAATAAATAAATTCTAGAACTAAATCACACTATAGATCAAATGCACCTAGCTGATGTCTACAGAATATTTCATCCAACTTTGGCCCAATATACATTCTTCTCAGCAGCCCACAGAACCTTCTCCAAAATTGATCATATCTTAGGGCACAAAGCAAGCCTCAGCAAATATAAGAAAATAGAAATAATACCATGCATTCTATCTGAACACAATGCATTAAAACTAGAACTCAACAACAAAAACAATAGTAGAAACATGCAAACAATTGGAAGCTGAACACCACATTGCTCAATGATCAGTGGGTCATCAATGAAAAAAAACAGGAAATTAAAGGGTTCCTGGAAGTTAATGAAAATGAAAACACCACCTACCAGAACCTATAGGACACAGCAAAGGCAGTCCTAAGAGGAAAGTTTATAGCCATGAGTGCATATATTAAAAGGACACAAAGATCTCAAAACAATGACCTAATGCTACATCTCAAACTCCTAGAAAAACAAGAAGAAACAAAAACCAAAACAAGCAGAAGGAGAAAAATAGTAAAAATAAGGGCTAAAATTAACGAAATAGAAACAAACAAAAAAACCAAAGAATCAACAAAACAAAAATCTGGTTCTTTGAAAAAATAAACAAGATTGACAGATCCGTGATGAGAGAAAAAAACCCAAATCAGTAAAATCAGAAATGCAAAAGGGGAGATAACAACAAACACCACGGAAATCCAGGGAATCATCAGAGACTGCCTTGAGAACCTATATTCCAGTAAATATGAAAATCCTGAAGAAGTGGACAGATTTTTAGATACTTATAACCATTCAAAATTGAACCAAGAGGATATTAATCACCCGAATAGATCTGTAACACAAAATGAAATTGAAGCAACAACAGGGTCTCCCAAAAAATATGACTCCAGGACCAGATGGATTCTCTGCTGAATTCTATCAGACCTTTAAAGAAGAACTAATACCAATTCTCCTTAAACTTTTCCATGAAGTAGAAAGGGAATGAATACTATCTACCTCATTTTATGAAGCCACTATTACACTCATCCCAAAACCTGACAAAGACACCTCCAAAAAGGAGAACTATAGGCCAATCTCCTTAATGAACATGGATGCAAAAATTCTCAATAAAATAATGGTAAACTGAATCACATCAGAAAGATCATTCACCATGACCAAGTCGGCTTCATCCCAGGGATGCAGGGGTGATTCAACATATGCAAATCTATAAATGTAGATTTATAAATGTACTAGAGTACTTTGGTAGAAGCAAAGACAAAAAGCACTTGATCATCTCAATAGATGCAGAAAAAGCGTTTGATAAGATCCAACACCACTTCATGATAAAAGCTCTAAGAAAACTAGGAATAGGAGGAATGTACCTCAACATTGTAAAGGCTATGTATGACAAACCTATAGCCAACATCATATTTAATGGAGAAAAACTGAAACCATTTCCCCTAAAATCAGGAATGAGACTAGGGTGCCCACTATCCCCACACCTATTCAACATAGTCTTGGAATTCCTAGCCAGAGCAATTAGGCCAGAAGAAATAAAAGGAGTACAAATAGGTAAACTATCAAAATATCCCTATTTGCAG